CATGGTGCACAAAGCTGGTCATCAAGACAACTCGTAAATAAATCAATGAGCAATTTTTATTATTTCGTGCAAAAGCAAAGTCAGAGAAATTGTTGTTTTTTCTTCTTGTTGGATGTTCAGAGCTAAGCATTTGGAGCAGCTGGAGTCGGGCGGGCAACTCTAACAGAAGCTAGAGTCGGGCGGACAACACTAGCAGAAGCTGGGCCATAAGCTTCGTCCAATGCCCGGCAGCGCATAAATTTGTTGCGCCTCTCAGTCTCAGTCTCCTTCTCCTTCTGCTTCTCTGTCATTGCCGCATGCATAAATATGCGCACAATATGAACGGTGCCGGCCTGCTTGCCCTCCCGCGCCCCCTTCGCCCACACGCCTGTCGTTTGACATGGCTGAAGAATGTTTAGCTTGAGTGGATTTTATTGTGACAGCGTCAGGATTTACTGTAGACAGCAACTGTGCTGCACTCCATGCACCCACTCATTAGGCCAAAGCACTTAAAGCCCTTATTTACATGCTTTTTTGGGAATATTTTCTTTTTTTGCCGCTGTTGGGGAATAATTGTTGTGTTCCCTGACTTAACATCCCAAATTTCTTGACATTTGAAAAAAGTGGACATTACGACCTACTCAACTTCAAAATTCCATATGTACTGAACTATGTATGTCGATATATGGAATATAAATTGTGTTTAAATGGATCTCCAATTTATTATTCTTGATTTAACAACCCTTGAATTGCTCATTCACGAAATATACTTGTAGTATATGTGTAGTTCCTATACAAAACTTTCCATGGGATCGTTATTATTACAATAAAATAAGTCAAGTGAGAAGTGAAAATATTTTAGAGGAAACAGCTTATTAATATTGGCAAAGCCATCACACTTTTTGGCTTCCCAGTTCCCAGTGTAGAAAGCATGAGCGTGAAAGTGTAGCGTTACGTATACGCCGAATTGGTTGCCCGTACGCTCGCCTGAAACCAGAACTCCCACGGGCATGTCGGCAAATGGTTGGCGAGCGTCGTCGCGCTCGAAATCAATGCTAAAATATGCAAATTTTTATTTGCGCGACAATTTCAATTTAACGACAACGCACACGGCTCCATTTTCTATTAACGTGCGCTCTCTTTGTTATAGCTATTGTTGTTGTTGTTGTTGCCGTCTTCTGTTCAGTTTGGTTCGGTTACCGAATTACTCTCAGCAGTGCCGTTAACACCACAGCAGCACAGCAACGCCCCACACCCGCCCTCTTTCAAGTTCTACTCTGCCCGAGAAGTTGGGGATGGGCTTCTACGGGCTCAGTGTTGTATAATGCCATAAACAGCGCATAAATTGAACAGAAAACTCCGAGTCGAACCCAGGGGGGTGTTGACTAAGCACAAAACAAAAAAAAAAAAACAAAAACAAAAAAGCACGGTAAGTAAACTTTGGGCGTCATTTTAAGGCCACGCATTGAGCCATTCAAAGGCTCATTATGTGTGTGCCCACGTTATGGCGCCTAAAATTGTCGTTTTGTTTCAGGGGGCGCCAACGATGCAAGGGCGATTGAAATTGATGTTGGAGGTGGGACTGGGGTCGGGCTTGGGCTTGGGCTTGGATTTGTGCACTAGTTGAGTTCGCGGTTAGCCGGTTTTGTTCTCGCCGGATGGTTTATGTACTCGAGAGTAAAAGTGAAATTTCATTTTTGAACATTATCTGTGGCTCGTTACTAACATAATAATAATTATGCTGAATGCGGATCTTTTGAACTTTTGTAATAACTAATAATTGTGACACCTTACTTAACTCTAATGGATATTACTTGTATTACACACAAAGCGAAACAATTACAACACATAAAGCTAACAAAGGCAATCAGTGTGCCCGCGGAGTCTACAGTTTTGAATTAGATATTTGGGGTCGGTTCCACACAAAACAATTTATAAGTCGCAGCCGTTTCTTCAAATTATGTACTATATATTACATAAATCACAGATTTTTAACGTTTGCTCAACAAAGTTTGCAAATTAACATTGAAATTTAGTTAGCTATGGAACTGAATTCTTGAAAACGCATTTAGGGGGATCCCTAAATATTCTTGATGAATTTTTGAACAAGTTTCTACGAAATTTTTTGAATATTTTTCCACAACTGTGGTTTGTTTTGGAAAATTGTCTTTGCAATATCTCGCTTAAGTAAACCCAAAATAGGGATTGATGTCTAATCCAGAAGGTTCATATTTTGCTGTTGAAATTATACTTTAATTATTATTTTTAATTAATTAATTATTGCCCCAAAATGTTGAAATAAAATTATATTTTATAGTTACATTATGTTTTGGCTAAAATAGGGAAAAAGTGTGCAAATAAAAAAATAAACATTTTGGTAAAGAATTCCGTTTTTTTTTTCAGAAAAAATATAAGAAAAACGTTTTTAAATTAACCGAATTAAATGAAATTTGTTTATTTATTTATTAACATGTGCAAAGTTTAGTTTATATAGCTATGGAATAGAGTACATTGAAAATCTGCCATTTCCGAAATCCAGACGTTCATACAGTCAAACAGATAGACAGATAAACGATTACTAAAAAGATTTATCTCGTCAGGCTGGCTCAGAATATATATAGTTAATAGGCTCAAAAATGCTTGCTTCTCCCCGGGTATAGGGTATACGAACTTGATAAGTTTATATGGCGGGGGTCATTCCTGAAATAGGCAAAAACAACAAAACATGAGTTGTGATTTGCCGTGGGAATATAGAAAATATATTAAATAATTTTGGCATAGCCAAAAACCAGTATTTTTGGCTTAATAATGTTGGAAAAATATGTTCAAATTGATTTATAGACTAAGCTTAAAGAAATCAAATAAACAAAATCTCACAAAACTATTTCTTCATTTCTGCTTTTACTGCTCAGCTTTAGCTTTAGCTGAACGGGCAGACTTATAAACTTTGTTCCCAGCAGAGCGTGTTTCGGCGCAAAAATGTCGGATTAATTGCTGTGACAAAAAATTATATGCGTATAAAATAAACACAATTTGCGCAATTGAATTATTTATTATTTATTGACAAGCTGTGGTCGCGACCATCCTTGCCATAGCTCCACATTCCCTGGCATTTTTAAAATGCACGCCAACTTGGCCGAAAAGGACGAGGCTGGCCAATAGTGGCAGCCAAGGGCATAAGCTGTTCAGCGTATGCGCAAGCCAGCGGACTCTATACACAATTACGCACATACATACATGTACAACTACTATATACCATATAGAGCTCGAGTCAAACTTCAGCGTCAAGATTTATAGCAGCTGGTTGGCTGGTTGGATAGAAGGGGAACTCAGGCGAAAATAACTTTAGCGGAAAAGTGGCGAGAAAATACAAGAAAATGCTTAACCAACATCGTGAGGCAAAAACAGAGAACGGTGATGGAGGAAAGAGGAAAAAGCCCACACACACACACACACACATAGACTTACGCATTTGGGCCACTTGGGCCAAGAAAATGGCAGACAATGCTCGCTTCCTTGTCCCGAGGCTGCGCGCCAGGCAAAAACTTCATGAATTTAATTACAGCATTTTTTCGCTGTAATTACGAAATTCTTTTGGCCAAAACTGGAATTTTCATTTCATTTTCATTAAAATATTTTTGCTAGTAACTGTTTACAAATATGTACATACATACATATATACAGAGGTATGTATATACTTGTATGTATGTTTGAATGCCGTTCCCATTACATATTTATGCAACCATCTCGTCCTTGTTTTTGCAGTCGGACAGCAACTCGCTTGAATTTATGCACACATTCTGCTTAACGCAATTATTCAGTTATTGACCCACAAAACCACAAGATGCCGACACCAGACAATGCAGTTACAAATGCGTTGACTTATCCCGAGGAGAAGGGAAGCGATGCTCTTACTGTGCCTCATCTAGCACTGTCCTCACCTGTGTATTATTAACATGACCACGATAAGCTCATAATGAGGCTGGGTAATTTCTTATTGTCGGCTCCGGCTGTAGACAGTCCTCTACTATGTGGTATGCCGATTTTGGTCAAAAGGAAATATAGCAAGTAATTAGTGCAAGGTGCATTGTGTGGTTGAGGGAAAAACTTTTAAAATAGCCCCCGTTAAGAAATTAAGTTCGACCAAATGTTATATTATATTCAAATATTTATATGTTTTATATGCTATTTCTTTCAGTGATGAATCTATATTCTTATTTTGCGACCTTAGGCTGTGATATTACATATTTGGCGCTACATGCATTTGTCTTTCTTGATTTATTTATAAGATCGAACAAAAAGGGGTTGGTGTCATATCGCAGTGAACCAGCCTAGATATAGATATTAATATTTAGTATATACGCAGTAATAGGCAGTGTTTAATTTCCTTCATGGCAATGCTTTTTTAAAATATTAGATTATATAAATCTTTAAAACAGAAATAATAAATATTAATATTATTAATAAATAATAATAAATTCATAACAAGAAATTTTAAACTTAATTTTACAACAAATTACAAAATAGCCTATTTTTAGGAATTGGCTTGTTTGAGAAATATGTTTATTATGTTTAAAAGCAGAATAAAAAAAAAAAATAAATAAAATTTAATTTAATTCTAGCTATTTTGAATATTATGAACTTCAAAGAATCCAATTTGAAAATCTTACTTATTAGCGGAACATTTTTAGGACAAATTTTAGTAGCGTCCTCAAGCGGCAAGATTTTGCAACTACTTCGAAAACGGTTTTGGGTTTCATCAACTGGCAGCCCTGTAAAGGCTGCCAGACCAGTGACAGTTTTAAAAATCCGTTCCCATATTCAAAGAATAGACAATACGCTTTGGAGTGCACTACGAAGAACAACAAAGTTCATCTACTTAGCTAAGCTTCATTTGAATTTTGTTTAAATTTGATTTAAATTTTTCCGCGCCTTTGCACTATCGTGAATCTATCGATGGACCATTGTTATCGATTACTCACAATAGAAAACAAGTGTTTTTTTAAACGCTTGCATAATTACATGTTAATTGTAATTATTAATAAATAAGAGTGCCATGAAAGCGCGGTGGCCAACTGTCACCAGTTATCTGCGCAATAGTTGGCGTTGGCAACAACAGCGCACACAAAGCAAAGCAGCTGCAGCAGCAACACAAACAACTACCGCCACAAACAAAACTGCCACACGTGAGACTTTCTTGGAGCAGATAAGTCGCGGGCCGGGGCTGCAGGATTTCTTCACAGCAAAACCTTTGTCCAGGCTAAAGCTGAATGAAACTCATGCTGATGAAGTGGAGGAGAACAGCGTACCCTATCTGAATGCCATCGATTACAATGGAAATGGAAGGCGTGTCTATTTCGAAGTCTATGGCTGTCAGATGAACACAAACGACACTGAAGTGGTTTGGAGCATACTAAAGCAGAATGGTTATCAGCGCTGCGAGGATCTGCGGCAGGCCGATGTCGTCATGCTCGTTACTTGTGCCGTGCGCGATGGCGCCGAGCAAAAGATTTGGAATCGTTTGGTGCACTTGCGGTCTCTGAAAGAACGTCGAGGAAAGAAACGTGGACTGCAGCTCACACTGCTTGGCTGCATGGCTGAGCGACTGAAGGAGCGCCTGCTAGATAAGGAGCAGTGTGTAGACGTCATAGCAGGACCTGACAGTTACAAGGATCTGCCAAGATTGTTGGCAGTTGCTCGACACTATGGAAATTCAGCCATTAACGTGCTGCTGTCGCTAGATGAGACCTATGCGGATGTAATGCCCGTTCGATTAAATGATGAATCGCCCACGGCTTTCGTTTCCATAATGCGTGGATGCGACAACATGTGCTCTTATTGCATAGTGCCTTTTACGCGAGGGCGTGAACGCTCGCGACCATTGCAATCAATTGTGGGGGAGGTGCAGGCACTTCGGGACCAAGGCGTCAAGGAAGTGACACTCCTGGGGCAAAATGTCAACTCCTATAGAGATAAGAGTACGGACCATACTTCAGACGCTAATATGGCCGCTGGATTTAGCACAGTGTACAAGCCCAGGATTGGCGGGTTGCCCTTTGCTGCGCTCCTCCAAGCTGTGGCCGAGGCTGTACCAGAAATGCGCATACGCTTCACATCGCCGCATCCTAAGGATTTCTCCGATGAGGTACTGCACGTTATTCGTGACTATCCAAATGTGTGCAAGCAGCTGCATCTGCCGGCGCAATCGGGCAACACAGAGGTACTAACCAGAATGCGTCGAGGTTATACGAGGGAGGCGTACCTACAGCTCGTTGATCACATTCATGAAATACTGCCCGAGGTCAGCTTTTCCAGCGATTTCATCTGCGGTTTTTGTGGCGAAACGGAGTCGGAATTCGAAGATACAATCACACTGATCGATCAAGTGGGCTATAATGTGGCCTATTTGTTTGCGTATAGCATGCGTGAGAAGACCACCGCACATCGACGCTATAAGGATGATGTGCCAGTCGCAGTGAAAACGGCACGATTGCAACGCATGGTCCAGAGTTTTCGAAATGGAGCCGAAAGGCTACAAAGCCGCTTCGTAGGCCAGAATCAGCTGATTCTGATCGAGGGCAAAAGTAAAAGGTCCGAATCGCATTGGTTTGGACGCAATGATGCGAACATAAAGGTCATAGTGCCATCCTGCAGTTTACCCACGGGTGCGAATGGCGTCTCCAGACACATAGAAGTTGGTGATTTTGTGATCACACGCATTAATGAGTCAAACTCGCAGGTGCTGAAGGGCACCCCGCTCGAGATCAGCAGCATATCCATGTACCACAACAATAACAGATGAACCAACAGTTGACATTAAACAAAAATAATACGAGCTTTAATTTCGTATCAGCAATTTTTTCATTCTTTAATGCATATCACGTTTCCTCCATGGGGGTCGTCGCGGTCTCTTTTGAAGCTCTGCCATGGTAATTGGCTAAATGACTGCGGTAGAACTCAAAGATCTGCGCACTGGCCGCGCGACATAGGCATTCGATATCATTGAATTCTGCAATTTTGAACGAACCCTTTGTTTGTATCAGCAACAAGTTACCCTCCACTGAGTCAAAGGCAAATGTAAAGCTAGCACGCTGATGCTGCATCTCGCTTAGATCTGGATCGAGCACGATCTCACCCTTTTCATTGATAATGCAATGCACCGCTGCGAAACTGTATTTCATGGGCAGGCCGCCAATTAACATAGCCAAACAAGAAGCATTCAGAGCACACGCGTCCATCTGCACAACAACAACAAAAATATTGAGTGACTTAACATTTACAAGGCGCATATGCCACTCACACTGCCACGATCCTCTAGTTCCTGCACCTGTACGGACATTTTTGAACGGGGATACGATTCACTTAGTAGCGCCAGTTCTAGCACATCTCGTATGGCCGCTTCTCTTATGCGCTCCTTCACCTGCGGCAGTCCAGCCTTGGGCCTATAATTGCACTCCAAGTAGCTGCCATCTATGCACAGATTCTGTGTTTTCGTCTCAACGGGTCCAATTACTGCGGCAATAACAATTGTGGCGCCTAGGAAGGAAGAAGAAGCAATTCTTAGTAAACCGGCCGCTCAACGGATTTGTTTTGCTCCCCACAAACCTTGGCTATACATAACAGAGCCATCGCAACGAGACAACGAATTAAACTCGCAGCTCATTTGGCGTAATTTCTCATTGCCAGATTTTTCATCTTTCTGTTTTTCCATTGTTGATTAGCAGCTAAATGAAATAAAAACAACGTGCGCGTGCTATCAAAAACAATGCCGCTAACGAGCATCGATACTCCTGCGGCAACCCAGCTTGTGCTATCGTTATCGATAACTTGCGTGCAACGATGATGCTTTCATCTCTAACCAAAAGCTGTTTGGATTTCACTTGCACACTTTGCTCGTCCGGAGTAAGTTCAGTAAAGGTGGGAATACTCTTTTACTAATACGCAATATAAAAAGCAATAATGGCCGGTAAGTCTGGGCTGAAATCAGCGGCCTCTCTCTTAAGATGCACATCATCCTTATATAACTAACGCCATATATTGTTCTCAGGCGCCAATCCATTTGCTCAATTTGAAAAGTCTTTCACCCAAGACGGCACCGTCTACAAATATTTCGACTTGGCCTCGATCGACAGAAAGTATGGTAAGTAGAAGAGATTGGACAAGGGAGGTGACGTGGTTTTAGAGTTTGTTTATGAGGCTTTTCAACCTCAGCACACAAACTGGAATTATTGAAAGCTTGTGGTCTGAACAAGAACACCTGTTGAATGCGCTGATTTTTCAATCTTGAAGTTTGACCCCGCACACGCGACCATCAGAGCTTGCGCCCATTGCGGGCGCAGCGTCGGCGATTGCTTTAATTTGCAAGACCAAGTGGTGTCATTGAGCTGCGACGTCGGCTACGTTGCCGATAAGAGGCAGCGCCGCAAGTTAGTTTCAGCTTTCCAAAGCGCACGGCGAAAGCGAAAGTTGTTGCTGATTTTGTTAATTAGCTGCTCGTTGAGCTTCTCAATTTGTCCCTTCATATATACATAGTATATGTATATGCGCTGAAACGAGCATGTCGAGATAAGAAAAATGCGCGTCTGTGCTCGCTTATTGTGCGGTTCTCAAGTTCATGAACAAATACATGAGGCATCCACTTATCAGAGTCCCGTAGGAAGACGAGCACTTTAATCTGTTGTTGCTGATGAGGTGATCTTTTTTCTGAACGTCGTCTTCAGTTGCCTTCGAAACATATCTTAGAAAACAATCGCATGTTTTGACGGTGTCGCGTGCGTCGGGTTCAAAAGGTGGTTTCTTTTATTAGTTGTCAGTCTATCGGACGATTAACTGCAACCAACAGGAAGACACGATCTTGAACCACTGTGCGATAAGCAACGTAATCTCTTATCAGCCAAATTTTTTACTAAAGGTGTGTAAAAAGAATTGTAAACGAAATGATAATGAATGGCGAAATCTTATAACTACAAAAAACAAGGCAATGTTTCTAATTCTACGTGCCATTTTAACAAAAACCATCTCATATTAGCTGGAAAACTGAGATTCGATTTGGAATTTAATACAATTCTTCTAGTGTTATAAACATTCATTTTACTTTTAAGATAGATTTTCCCAAAAGAAGTAACACAGAAGTAATTAATAAATAAAAACAATTAAATATAATTATTTTTCTAAAAGTTGATAATATTAGTTTCCATAACGTAATTTTAGTAAATATGAATTCATTTTGAAATGCCTTACAATTTTACTTCCTTTCAGGGCAATTACCATACTCTATCCGTGTGCTATTGGAGTCTGCCGTTCGCAATTGCGACAATTTCCACGTGTTGGAAAAGGATGTGCAGAGCATACTCAGCTGGACGCCCACGCTGCAGCAGGGCACCAATGATGTGGAGGTGTCCTTTAAGCCCGCACGCGTCATTCTGCAGGTCAGTAGTTGCTAGTTATATTGGAATATTCTGTAGATCTACTTGATTTCCTGCAGGATTTCACCGGCGTGCCTGCCGTTGTAGATTTTGCCGCAATGCGCGATGCTGTGCTTGACTTGGGCGGTAATCCTGAGAAAATAAATCCCATTTGCCCCGCAGATTTGGTCATCGATCACTCTGTGCAGGTAGACTTTGCACGCAGCGGTGATGCACTGGCTAAGAATCAGAATTTGGAGTTTGAGCGCAACAAGGAACGCTTCACTTTCCTTAAGGTGAGCATCAGACCTATCTACAAGCTCTCACAAAGTATTACATCTCGTCTTGTCTATTTGCTTAGTGGGGTGCACGTGCCTTTAACAATATGCTGATCGTACCTCCCGGCTCGGGTATTGTACATCAAGTGAACTTGGAGTATCTGGCACGCGTTGTCTTCGAAGTAGAGGCCGGCACTGGCGCAAAAATCCTGTACCCCGACAGCGTTGTTGGCACGGATTCGCACACGACCATGATCAACGGCCTGGGCGTGCTCGGCTGGGGTGTGGGTGGCATTGAGGCTGAAGCTGTTATGCTGGGTCAATCGATTTCCATGTTGTTGCCTGAGGTTATTGGCTACAAGTTGGTGGGAAAACTTGGGCCTCTGGTGACTTCCACCGATTTGGTGTTGACGATTACCAAGCATTTGCGTCAATTGGGCGTGGTGGGCAAATTTGTGGAGTTCTATGGTCCAGGCGTCGGAGAGCTGAGCATTGCCGATCGTGCAACAATCAGTAACATGTGTCCTGAGTACGGCGCTACTGTCGGCTATTTCCCCATCGATCTGAATACGCTGAATTACATGAGACAAACAAGTGAGTAATTCTTATTAAATGCTGTCTTTAAAATCGAATAACCATACTTGTATTCTTCTTCCCATAGATCGCTCTGAAAAGAAGATCGAAATCATTCAGAGATATCTGGAGGCCACACAGCAGCTGCGCAACTATTCGGATGAGGCTCAGGATCCAAAGTTCACGCAGGTTTGTTTTTGAAACCATTTCTGAATAGTCAGTCGCATATCTGCAATTAAAATACCTTTATCCTTTTATTCAATTTGCGTTGTAGACCATCACTTTGGACTTGTCAACGGTTGTTACATCAGTTTCAGGTCCCAAGCGCCCACACGATCGCGTCTCTGTCTCCAACATGCTCGAGGACTTCAAGTCCTGTCTAACAAATCCGGTAAGTTGTACTAATTTCGCTCTTATGAGATAAACAAAGCCCAGTGATGTTGAGGATCTGACAAAACTGAACTTAGTGTATCCCATAAATTGAAACTGTCTCGCTAATGCACACGCACACTCACACATATACTTGTATTAAGCTTAACACTAGCCGAAACGCTGCTTACAAAAGAGCTATCTAAAAGAAACAGCAACTGTGATATGTGAGAAGATCGTATGAAAAATCACGGCTACTATTTCCTTAGATAACTCGATATAAATTCAGGACGAAGCTTCAACAATTCACTCTTCAACGCACTGCAATACTGGTGTCTAGCTTTATGAATAGTCCAACGATCGCTTAACGCAGCTCCCTGTGAAGTGCAAGGCAGGCAGGCAGCACCCCAACTTAACACGTACCATTCCGAAACTGAAAGCCAGCAATTGGACTCCACGTTCTTATAAGCTGGGCAGGCACGTTCAATGGCCGCTGCCAGCGCATCAGATTTCCAGCCGATCGCTTTTTGGCTATTGGCAAAATTCGCTTAGGTTTGCGTTACTAAGGCCCCCAATTTCTGGCATGCTCGACATTTTTATGCCGAATTACTAAAATTATGAACAAACACAATTTGTTTTTATTGCAATTCGTCGCTGGATATTTGCAAATGCAGCCCGTGCAAGGTGCACAGCGAGCTCAGTGAACCCGGTTTGCTTTGCATCCAACCGAGAGTTCGCGCAGCTCGAGGTGTTGGGTCGTCATGCGCACGCTTCCGCAAACAAACTGACCTACATACTATAATATACAGGCAAACCTATCAAATTGACCTGTGGATGCACATACAAGCATGTGCATACTACTTATATGCTGACAAGACGCATAGGTGACCGATTTTCATTTCTAAAGCCAAAAAAACGACTGTTTACTTTTCATTAGTCTACGTGGAAGCCTCATGGCCGGTCCACTTTTACAGCAGAACTTTTTAAAACTCCACTTGATTCAATGCTGATTCAAGCATTTTGTAAGCTAAATATAATGATTAGTGTCTTTAAAAGAAAAACTTAAACTTTTCAATATGTCTATTTGATTTTAAAAGAAAGCAATTGGGAATATTGAATTTATAATGTTATTATTTAAAGCTTTAAAAACATAAAATAAATACCAACGAAATCTATTCCATAGGCAGCTATTATCTAGGAATTATTTACTTGTCTATTTCATAACAACATACTCACACATATGTATGTATTAAAAACTGATAATCAAACACTTACAACTCGAAGATTTCCAACTCATCACAGTCGAAAAAAGTCGCAGCAATTTCTAGAAACACTCGACTAATCTCTAAACACACTTAAGGTGGTTCGACTGTGTTAAGTGCAAGGGCATTGAACGCGCATATTCTTGACACTGTTGAGCAACGTATTTATTTTGATTGAATTTTAGGTCGGCTTCAAGGGTTTCGCAATCGCACCGGAGGCGCTGTCCGCCAGCGGCGAGTTCCAGTGGGACGATGGCAAGACGTATAAGATTCAGCATGGTTCGGTGGTTATTGCAGCGATTACATCCTGCACCAACACCTCAAACCCGTCGGTCATGTTGGGTGCCGGTTTGCTGGCTAAGAATGCCGTCGAGAAGGGTCTGAGCATTCTGCCCTACATCAAGACCTCTCTTTCGCCTGGCTCTGGTGTGGTCACCTATTATCTGAAGGAATCTGGTGTTATACCTTACCTGGAGCAACTTGGCTTTGATATTGTGGGCTATGGCTGCATGACCTGCATTGGTAACTCCGGCCCACTGGACGACAATGTCGTGAACACGATTGAAAAGAATAGTCTGGTCTGCTGTGGCGTTCTTTCCGGCAATCGTAACTTCGAGGGTCGCATCCATCCCAATACGCGTGCGAACTACTTGGCCAGCCCGTTGCTGGTCATTGCCTATGCCATTGCTGGTCGTGTGGATATTGACTTTGAGAAGGAGCCATTGGGTGTGGATGGCCAAGGCAACAATGTCTTCCTACGCGACATTTGGCCAACACGCACCGAGATTCAAGAGGTGGAGAACAAGCACGTCATACCCGCCATGTTCCAGGAGGTCTACAGTAAGTGAAAACTAAAGATCCCCCTACAAACCAGGCTGCCCAAACTCTTGAGTCTAATTATATATTTTAATGCACAGGCAAAATCGAGCTGGGCTCAGAGGACTGGCAAACTCTACAGGTGTCCGATGGCAAGCTGTATCCCTGGAGCGCCGAATCCACGTACATTAAGCGTCCGCCGTTCTTTGAGGGCATGACTAGGGATTTGCCAAAGCTGCAGAGTATCCAAAAGGCACGTTGCCTGCTCTTCCTCGGCGATTCGGTGACCACGGATCACATCTCGCCCGCTGGCTCCATTGCTAGAAACTCGCCGGCAGCGCGTTTCCTCTCCGAACGCAACCTGACGCCCAGAGATTTCAATTCGTACGGTTCACGTCGTGGCAACGATGCGATCATGGCACGTGGCACCTTTGCCAATATTCGCCTAGTGAACAAATTGGTCACAAAGACCGGGCCACGCACCCTGCACATACCCAGCCAGGAGGAGATGGACATCTTTGATGCAGCTGAACGGTAGGTGCTCGGCCTAAGCTCTGCGATAAACATTTAACGAGTTTGTGATCATTGCAGTTATCGCGAGGAGGGCACTCCTCTGGTGTTGGTTGTTGGCAAGGATTATGGTAGCGGTTCTAGCCGAGACTGGGCTGCTAAGGGTCCTTTCTTGTTGGGCATTAAGGCGGTCATTGCTGAGTCCTACGAACGCATTCATCGCTCCAACCTGGTGGGCATGGGAATTATTCCCCTACAATTCCTGCCGGGACAGAATGCCGAGACGCTGAAGTTGAGCGGCAGGGAGGTCTACAACATTGCATTCCCCGAAAGCGGACTCAAGCCCGGCCAGAGAATACAAGTTGAGGTAAGCCCAAGTCAACAGATAGTTACAGTTTGCGGTTATGTAATTGATGCCGATCTTCGTTCTTTCAGGCTGATGGCACAGTTTTCGAGACCGTATTGCGCTTCGACACTGAGGTGGACATCACTTACTACCAGAATGGCGGCATCTTAAACTACATGATACGCAAAATGCTCGCCTAAATTTGTACTCCACATTTTGTTTTTCTTCGTTATTTTTTATATTCCACTGGCATTTTGAATACATTGTAGTCATTTAGGATTTTATTGTGTGGTGGATGCTTTCCTGCTTTCCCCTTTGGTCGAACCAATAAAATTAGGCATAGACAATGCTTTTAATAAGAATTTGTGGCAATATTTTGGTTGATTCTAGGCAATAATTCGTTAGAACAACAACGAAAACAAATCGAAATGGACGCACAGTAGTTTGATTTTCTGTTATTCTTGCTAACTAGACATTCTTATTATGAGAAACCCAGAACCTATTTCCTTGACTAGAGGCTATCAATCTGTTTACTAATCTGACTATTAGCAATAATCTTCCAAAATTACTTAGTTGCCTTATCACTAAGAACAGACGTGTTCACACATTCCGTTCTTCGATAGGAATTTGTAAACTATTATCAGTTTCTTATCAACATTTATGTCTGGGATTTTTAAAATGTGCTGATCACAGTAAACAGATCTGAACAGAACTTTTAAAAATAAAAGTTAGATACATTCTAAATTGGTCTACGATTTGGTTTATAACAAATTATAATATATTAGACACCTTGGAAAATATATATATTTTTTTAAACCTTACAAGTGACATCAAATCAAAAAGTGATGAAATAAAAGTGAAGACAGTCGAAAATATTATTCCCTTCTAAGATGCATGCTTATCTGTAGTTAACCAAACCATAGCTAATAAATAACTATAAAAAATTAAGCAATTATATATCTATATACATACATATCCTCTCTTTGTTAACGCTTTTCCCCAACTGACTTTTCATGCTACTACTGTTCATAGAGTGGACATTGATTTTATATTTTATAGAGCCAAAAATGTTGGAATTCTTGGTTTGTACTTTATTACAATATACAATAAATCTAGTTTTCATTCAAACGAACACACACATGCTTAAATATCTTCTTAGAGGCAGTGCCATCTAACTTTTCCCGAAAGCCCCGTGCCCACCAAATTGACACTGAGACAAGTGTTTTTACACATATGACCAGTTTTGTCCAGTTTTGTTTACTATGATGTACATTATGATTAACATCATCATCAATTACATCAATTCAAGGCTAAATCATTAAGAACGAATTGTGTTAATCAACTCGTAGACTGCTTCTTGTGCTAATTGAATATATAGTATAAAATAATTATAATAACAAATAAATTTACACTTTAAGCTACAACTTTGGGTTTTTAAAAATTAAATTGCATTCAAATATGTTGAACATTTTATAGCGCTTCAAAATTTGACTTCTATTTCTTCTCAAATTCATAACTAAGAATAAGTTTCAGCTGCACTCGCAATTATTATTTAGCTAATAAACTTGCGCATTTACTAACTTTCTTCCATTAAGAATTTCCTTGACAGTTATTTACAAAATCATTTAGCAAGTCTAGCTCCTTCTCAACAACATATCTTTCACGAATGTGTAATTGTTAAGGTTGTTATCGACAGCGTTGATTTGTGGGTGGTTGCTTTAGCGTGTTCCGTTGTGGTCGGTCGCATAAATGCAGTATTCCTGGTTATTGATTCAGAGATGTTGATGTACTTGCTTCGATTGTGCGCTTTATTTACCAGCGTATCTGATTCTTGTATTGCTCGTCGATGGCAATGCGCTTGATGGTTTCATAACCTAAGATAATGCTAAATGAGAAGGCGGCCGATTGCACTAGACGTGCCGCAAGGCCCTTGAAAAAGCAATTTAGTTTCTCCTCATGCCACAACTCACGGAAAGCGGTGCCCATCGAGTCCAATCGATGTACCTGTGGACAAATATAGAGTTGATTTTTAATGAGCATTATTCAAATGATTTTATCGTCTTTATAGATATTAGTGAAAGGCTGCTTTCATTCATTATTATGCCAATTTATTCTAATCACAATGTTACCTGCAAACGCGTTCTCACTATATCTAGGGGATTGGTTAATATTGTCGTTGTAAAACCTCCTAAACTGCCCGCCACACACTGTATAAATAGATGGGATACCCACACGGGGCAGATACGGCACAATTCGTCTGTAAGATAACAACAAATTATATAATTTTTATTACCAAAATTAGAGCTGAACTATGACTCACCCTGATAGAGATGGTAGAATGCCCACCACATGGCTGAATTCGGAACGTAGGCCATCAGGCTGGCTGTGTAGCCTCTGTAGAAGCCGCTCAGGCCATCGCGTCGCATGATCTCACGTGCTATATCCATGGATATATGCAGGCGACTGCGGCCGGGCCACGATTTAATGCCCAGTGGATTAACATCAAACTTGGAGCCCGCATGCGCCGACATGCCCAACACCATGGCATGCTGTGATATAACATCGAAAGGAACTATTATGGTTTGACCCACCAGTGACGCACAGCCACCGCCAACTAAGGCCTTCACACGGTGTCCAGCACCCAGATCAGTGAGTATGTGACGCACACCTTCGTATGTGCTGATGTAGAAGACTCCCGACACAATCTGCACCGACGAGATCCAGAAGCCGCGATACAATCCTGCCACACCTTCCGACCGATATATCTTCATGGCACAATCGATCATGCCCTTATAGACATCACTCTTGTGCTGCACCTGCAGCTGCGTCTTGATCACAGTCAGTGGAAAAAGGCAGCATCGCACGGAGAACGAGCTCAGCATGGACAGCGGAAAGAATTTGGCTTTGTTCATCATGTTCCATTCGATTGTGCGTATGTAGGAGGAGCCGTCCACGCCGATGCTTGTGCCTGCAGCGCTGCCAGAAGCCACAGTCACGCGAGTATTCGAGCTCTTGGTACTGCCCGAATTGCTGCTTGTGTTGCCCGTTCCAGACATTCTGCTAGCTGCTGGTGCCGCTGACGGTGATTTTCTTGTAATCCGATTGAACCGGTAGCATGTACGTGGAAAGCTTTCGGCTTGTATGTATAAAAAGGCGAAGTCCCTGTTTCGACTACTTGTACAGCATCATCATCGTCATCCGTTTGCGTTGGCGGCGGCGGCATTAATGCTCGACTGGCAGCATGACTTGCAATGAAGATATGCGCGCTTGTGTGTATATGTGTGTAGGTGTAGGTTAAGCGTTCGTCTTGTGTATCTACAAAGGGAAATGAAAAACATTGTGAGAGTCTCAAGGTTAGCGCGGCCGCATTTCGATTTTGTGGGAGTGCTATTTATTTCCTTTTTCCATCACTTCACTCTTTGCACCTTGGTCTGCACTTAGCTAGAGTTGTCCATGAAATATTATCATTGGCACATATGCTAATGTCGATTTTAAAATTATATAATGCGCAACAGCACCACCTGACCCCATTCACCACCCCCTTATCGCACTGGCGCTTCGCTGACGTGCGTAAACATAAATCTTGGCAAGCTTTACGGTTACGGTTACACGCGTTCATTTGCTTCCCATTGTATTTTATTCCACACGCGCGTCCCTATGTTCTATTGTTCGGCTTTGTTTTTTGTTTAAAGTTTATTCACTCACCAATTGTTCAGTTTTATACATCATTGACCCGCAAGTAAATGTAATCACAAATATTTTTGGCGAAACTGGTTGAGGGCGAGGGATGCGCACGCATTGTTGTGACATATGAGCGGAGCACAGTGCTGCATAGCGCTGACTGTGCAAAAAAATTATGGGTAGCACTGCGTTAACGTTTTGTGCAGAGTGCTGTAAAATGTGTGCAGGTGAGGTTTGTGTCTTGGTATATCAGTTCTGACAGAGGAAAATATAATTTAAAATACAAATTATCATTTTTTTTCTAGATAATTAGATAATTTACAAGGCATTCTAAAAAACAGCGGACTGAAATCTGTTATATACATAGAGCAAATTTTAATTTGTATATGATTATTAGCTGTGAGTTTTTCTTAACTAATTGAAAAACTTCAAATTAGTTTATTATTTGGAATTTGAACAGAAAAAGTAGAAAATTCATAAAAAATTTCCAGTTGAGCCGAACTAGGACAACCGTGAGCCTTATTATTATTAAATTAATTAAACTATGGGTGTCCCGTAGCTGCCTTATAAAAAAAACGGTTAACGTCGTTTTTGGCTGCCAGTGCTACCACAAATAAATGGCAATTGCAGTTCTAACGGTAACTTCGCAACTTCTCAATTAAGAACAGACCTTTCGTATAAGAAGTGAACATATACGCCCTTCCAATCTTGTGATTGGCTGCCAGGCTTTGATTAGCTTACCAATAAACTGACTATGTGGGCGTTACGCACCTGCGCAGTGTGTCCAGCATCCTGCGGGCAGGACAACCCCCAAAAAGCACAATGAATGTCCATTTCTGGGGGCGCATATCCCACAAATCGCTACACTGTCCACAGTCAACGCGGCTACTTCGAAACGCTTGCACGATGCTAACGGAATGTGCCAACAATATTCGAAATGAGTGTCGCCTGCGGTTCAGTTATTCACAATTATTGATAAATTGCACTTCCGATACGTTAAAATTTTAGAATACCAATCAAGTGGATAAACCTAGCAAGTTCAAGTGCTTGTGCGTGCGTGTGTTTGTGTTTTTAAAAGCGGAGCGAGTGAGCGTTTTTCAGTTCAGTTATGGATACGGCGAAATTGGTAAGACTACATGAGAAAAGTCGTGCTTAGCAATTGTTTAAAGCTTTAATTCAGACATATGATAAATAAATACTCGTGTTCTTAACCCTAAATATGTATGTCAGTTATTGTCAGCCGTAGCTCAAGGTGTAGCCCATGTTCTCCATTAGCGTCTCCTTTATGGCCGGCTGCAGGGCGCGTTGCATGTAGGTGGTCAAGAGACCGCGCACTCCCATGGAGAAGAGCTTCTCCAGTTCATTGGACATGGCATCGCCTACTAACTGCTCCCGTTCCCCACCACTGAAGATATCGGCGAAGGCGCGTGCATCTGGCTCCACCATTTGCTGCAGTTGTTCATCCGAAAAATGCAGCACATCCTCGTTGAAGTTAATTTCATCCGCCAGTTGCCGCCTACGCCTATTGGGGAGCTCACGCCGCCTCCGCTTGCTGAATTGCCGCCGATAGAAATTGTCGCCATTCACATCATAGAACTCGTGTGAGTTCAGCTCGTGGCTGTCGAAACTCAGACTATGATCCCGCTGCGTGGTTTGCTCCTGGTGCTGATAGCCACTGCGTATGTCATAGTCTGGCTTGTGATATTTGCCCCAACGCTGCGATCCGGTGCTTCCCATAATGATGTGTGGCTCTCCCAGTTCCACTTGCGGGGCTGACGGCGGCGGCGGAGGTGATGATGTTCCGTCATAACCGGCAAAGCCAAATCTACGCTTAGAGTTCTGGCGATAACGTATGCCACTTGGTCCCTGACAGCCGTGAGCGAACACTGATATAAATCCCGGCTCTGCGAAATGCGAGTCCGTGCGCACAGAGGCTGCGCCCAGGCGACGCGACTGCTCATGGCCGGCTGCCGACTCAAATCCAATGGGCACGGTACGGAATTCAATGCCCGCATGTCTCAGTCGCAGTATCATGTGGCAACGACCACCCGTCGGCTGGAGCACCACCTTACCGCTTAGCGTCAGGTCCGGAAATATGAGACGAGTATCCAGCGTGGAGTTCTCCGTGCTAAATTTACACTTGTCGATTTCCACCCAACGTGTGGCGGATTTGCCCGGCGGTACACGCACCTTCAGATCCTCCACATCCACACGCGATATGGCCAACTTGTGTGGCTGTCTATGTTGCTGGGATGCCAGCAGCTGCTCCAGCTCTAGGGCGTCCGAGGGGGCGCCCGTGCCCACAAATTGATGGGGTCGGGTTCGCCTCTGCATGTGCTTGGCATGATAACCCCGACCAGTGCTGCCAATATTGTAAAAATCTTCCTCTGGATCGGAGTGCTGCCCATAAAAGCTGTGATACAGATCATAGGGACTCTGATTGGGCCGATCCCACAACGAACGCGAGCTTTTCGTTTGCGAACTCCGCCTGCGCATGTGTTCCAGAGCATTCTCAAGACGATTGGAGCAACGATGGGGCGCTGTATAGGGCTGACAAGCAACCGCTGTTGCAAATTACACATTAAATGGGTCAAGTTGAGTCAATTATCTGCAATTAGCTTACCCTGAAGCATTGCGAAGAGCAGAGCAAGCCAAATAAATTCCGATCCTGGCATTGCACATTGAAGACACTCAAAAAAGAAGACCGTACGCGTTCACAGCTCAACCCAAAGTGCGCGGCAGCAATGGCCCAGCAAATGAAACGGTTTCGCTTCCATAGACAAAGACGACGACGAAGAAGAAGGCGACAACGAAGACGACGATGACTATGATGAAGCCCAGCCGTGTCACTGCCTTCTCAACGTGTGCTGTGCAGTGAAAGTGTTTTCCACGACAACCAATTTGCCGCACACAACGCACGCCAGCGTGGAAAAAAAGACACTACCCACTTAAAAGACGCAGAAGAAAATCATTGTAGTATGCTGCTGCGTCGTGGCCTCAAAGTAGATCAAAGTAACGTACGATCCCAAAACAAACACGACAACAACAACAACAACAACATCAACAATAGCAGCAGAGATTTCGCTGCTTGCGTCGCTGTCGACGCTGTTTCGTAACGGCACTTGCGGGCGCGCATGCGTCGTAATCTCCCCCCATTGTTTGCAAAAGTTCAAAGTTGATCAATCCGCCGTCATGTAAATGAGGGGGCGGACGCATAGGCTTAGGCCATACGTCTGTCAATCGCTTGTCTTCATGCTGACAGCCATGTTTGTTTTGCCAAATTGCAATGGCAAACATAATTGACTGCACTTATTACGCCTTATGTCTGTCATCTTTAGACTGAATGCACCGTTGCTTGCAGGAGAGAGCTGGGCCTCACTGCAGTGCAAAAACAGAAGGGTGGCAGCGCTCTGTTGACTGTCAGGGTCATCGAGGTGCAATCGATATTTTGAATCAGGGTCACCTTTTTATTTTCCTGTCTGGCGCGCTTGCGGCGCTGGGTTGGTTTTGGCTTGACTGTACGTGTCAGAAATTCAAGTTTTCTGCTCCAGTTGCCTGCTTTATTGAATTACTAGCATATCCGGCTGGCGTTGCTGCGCCGCAACTCCGGTTCTTGTTCCGTTTCTATTTTCATGGCTCTAGATGTGGATCCCCTTTCGCGTATTTGCCGAAGCAGCGACTCCCGTTCCTGTCCCGTTTCTATTTCCATGGCTCTAGATGTGGATCCCCTTTCGCGTATTTGCCGAAGCAGCGACTCCCGTTCCTGTTCCGTTTCTATGGCTCTCGATGTGGATGCTAAATGAAACATTTTTATGAAAACTTCCCACACATCATAATCCAACCATCTTTGCAGGAAAATATGAACTTTATTTTATATTTATCACACGATTAACAGATCGTGTTCACAAAGGTCTTTTTAATGAGCCGTTCTAAATTTGCTTCCAAAATGAATGAAAACTATATTTTTTCTAGGATCAGATGTTTAGTTTAGTTAACGCTTTTCGTCACCAACAATGATAACAGCATTTAACATATTCCCTCCATCCATAGGGTCTATAGATAAAATTTAGTGCATATAAATAAATAATTATAAATTAACAACGTTTTAAAAAAGTATATTGAATATCCACAGTTATAAAAGAAGTATCAGATGTTGTTTATTCAAAAAAAAAAATGTGTAAAATGCTATTATACAAAAAACGTAGGACTGGGAAATCTCACTAAACTTAGTAATAAAAACATTTCGACTTTATATTTATATCGTCGAACCAATAGCAGATAATGTAAAGAAGAAGAAAAAATGGTTAATGAACGCAAAAGTTCCGCTTCGCTGTCTGTCTTTGGCGGTTAGTTGAGTGTTCGTGGTATTTAGACTTTACAAATTGTTCGCATGCACTTATTAAATGTCGCATATTTTGCAATTTTTGAATTTGTAACGCCTAATCGCGGAAGCTTTGCTGTCTTCCCACAAGTTTATAGTATGTATGTAGTTGTTGTTGTTTATTTCCATTGCAAAATCTGATACCATATTTCATAACGTTGTCTGTCTAATGGCGACCGCCGACGCATTCGTTGCCCAAAAACTGAGAGAAAGCTTCAGAAAAACACGTTCTGCACTTCTAACTTGCCGCTTTCTACCTCTGCTGGCTGTCTTGCTCGCTGTTGGGCTTGCAAGTAAGAAATAAAGAAAGATACGAGCAAATAGATATATAATTAAGGGTAACTACAAATGATTCTGGAAGGCGGCAGTGCGGAACGCTTTGCACCAGTTTCGGATGGAGAGCCATTGGTTTTTATCTTTTGTTTTGCACTCTACTAGAAGGGAAGAAAAGATATATACATAAGATTGACATATTCAGGTGAGATATGCTGACATCTTTAAGTGCGCCAAAAGATATATACATAAGACTGACATATTCAGGTGAGATATGCTGGCATCTCTAAGTGCGCCAAGTCTTGAGTGACTTTTGAAAATGATATGGAAACTCAGATAAAATTCATTAGGCACCTGAAGACTGTTCAAATTTTTAGGTATTGGTTAGGGATTAAACAAATATAATTAATAATGTTCGAACTAAGATGCTTCGGTTGTAAAACTGATATTACGGAATCAGTCACCATAACTATCGTTCTTTGGTCTGCATATTCCGAAATTTGTTAACTGCTTCGTTTGTTCCAAGGAAACTTTTAGCCTTTAGAAGCTTAGATGCTCTATTTGTGGTTACTAATAAGTGTCGCGTGACCTCTTGTATAGCAGGTACTTGCCTTTCATAAGCCCTGCAGCGGTCGAGAAGACGACAGGATAGTCCTAACCCCAGTTCCGGAAAGAAGATTTCCCCTCCGACGTTTCCTGCCAGCTTAGAGTCGAACGTGTTCCTAACATCAGAAAGGAGCTCCCACTCTAGTTGTGTAGGAATTCTAACTACCTAGTTCTTTACGTTAGTAAGTTCTGGTGCGTGATAACCCGCATGTGTCGGGACCCCACTGTAAGTCGGAATATCTTTGCGTGCGTAACTATCTCTCTTCCAATAATATCAAGGGGCAAAAGATGGAAAATTATATTTATAGTAAAGCATAAGTTAGCTCCTCCAATCTTTGCACGTTGCTGAGTAGGGTGAGATTACTTGCTTTATCCAGCGCTGGCCCCTGTAGTACGACACCAAAGAGTAGTACTGCTTGTAGGATGGCCAGACAGGCCAGATTGGATGTAGGCAATTCCAAAAAATAAAATAAACTCGTGTAGCCTAGGGACTAGGAGCGTCTACATACCAATTTTGGTTAATGTGCGCTCAACCGTGTTCCAAATCCAGGCGTTCATCCAGACGGACGGACATGTCTAGACCTAATATACCCTTTTTACCCTACGGTATGCAAAAAATGAAGATATAGAACGTTCTCCACAAGTTTTTTCGGCACCCAATAGCCTAAAATGAACTAAATTGAAAACTGGGGAGCTATCCACCAGCTCATAAATTTCAATTCCCAATTGCCGCGATAACCACTAGTTTAAAGGCGACTGTAGCATTGTTGTATGGACTGAATGACAGTAGGTAATGAGTACTTGCTCTTATTGAATCAAATTAGCTAATATGACAAATGCCTTGCTTAAAATCATACGAGCACACATCCATTTTCTAGTAATAGCCCCGCAAAGTGAAATGCACACCCTAATGACATTTAGCCGCAGACAGTGCTGGAGAGAGGCGGAGAAAGGGAGAGACAGAGAGAGGGAGAGAGAGAGTTGAAGTGGGGAATTAAAACGAGCCCAACCTCAAATCGGCTCATTAAATGTAAAAGTGTCAACAGACCAACGCTTTATATTGTCATTGTCATAGTCATATACCGATGTTTGATGTCCCACTGTCACTGTCTCGTGCCGGCAGCCGCTCCCCCGCTCCCACCGTTCTCTGAGCTTGGTGTGAATTCTTCTCTGGCCAATTTCGCACTGCAAGTGACAGTAGCAATGACAAAGTTTAAGTCTCTGCCTCTGTCTCCCTCTCCATCTCCAGTAGCAATGGCTCATTACTTAATGGCCCGCACGCGCAAACCCAACGGATTGGGACAGAAAAGTAAAGTCAATTGACAACCACTACTTGTACACACATGAGGTGCTACTCGAGTCGACTGACTCGGCTCGACAAAAGCAAAGCAAGGCGCTAGAAGCTGTTAAACTAATTGCCACAACTTCAATTTACTCAGTATGTCAATGTGACGAGTGTTTTGTTTTATTGTCTTAACCTGTTGTGAGAGAGCCCCGGGTATCGCATTAACGCTTTCGCTTGCACCCAGCAGGTGGCTTTAAAGTTGCTTGCCCTTAAAGCCTAGGCCAACAACCGGCCCACATACAATTGTGCTTTAAGTATTGACAAATTGACGAATATTCGCGCTTAGCTAAAATCAAAGTCATGTTAATTTCCTGCCTCGATATTGCTTCATTTCCTCTTTTCGATAGACGGACTACGGCGAGGCGAAGTCGCATCTGGAGCAGCTGCAGCAAACCCTAACACACCTGGATCCACATACCCATCATCATCCACACCATCCGCACCACCACCATCATCATCACCATCATCTTCCTCATCAGGGGCTGTATCACACAGTTCCCAACACCTCGACGATAACCACAGACTCGGTGGTTTCCTGTGTCACATCCACCTTGCCGGCTCAGGGCAAGTCAAGCTGCAGCAATTTGGACTCAGAGCGCAAGAAATGTTCCAGTCACAACGACTTGGATGTCGGCCACACGCTCATGGAGGCCATCTGCACCCATGGCCATCTTCATGGACAAAAGTCACCCTGTTGCTTGGTCAGTTCCTCGCCACCGCCACTGCCACTGCCACCACCACCACCAACTGTTCCCACAGCAGCGCTAATAAATGTATCGGCAGCAAGCACAAATGGCAATGGCAGCACGCTCTGCAATGGTATGTATGATATGGTATGGGCTGGAGATCCAGAGATTCCTCAAATCCATTTCCACTATCCAAACAATAGGAAAATTAGGCTCGCATCTTGAAGACGTTTTTTTTTCTATCCGCAGTTCTTCACAATTAAATTAAAAATTGTTGCACCCATCTTAAAGCAACTACTTAATACTTGTATATGTATATGATATAGAGCTTCGATTTAAGAAATTTCAGAATACGGTGGTACAATATTAAAAAGTCGTGTTTCGAAATGGCTTAAATAACATTTTTTTAAATAAATAAATAAAAAACGAATCAATATCGACATGCCAGCAAGAACTCTTGAAGTTTTAAAGCGAGGAATACTGACTTTTGTAATCCGAACCCAATCTGTATTGACTTGAATTGAATTACGTGAACCTTTTATTAACTAAAAAAGTTTTTAATATTAAATTTTGTAGTGGAATTAGAATCGGGACATTATATCCATAGGAACACTCGCTGTGAAACGTGATGAGTTTAACGGTCAATTGATGGAAAGCTGCTCTCAAACTCTTGGTTAAAGCTTTTTATTTAACTTTATCTGATAAAAATAAAAAAATTCAACTAATGAAACTTACCGTTCGACCCATATCAGCGATTCAAAACTATGCACTTTTCAGTTCTGTAAATATCTTCTTGAGTCTTGCAAATTAGAGCTTTCTTTAGTATAGAATTTTGATCAGATTATTTAATAATCATACCTTTTTACTATACATATAGTAAGTTTAAATTTATATTACTTTTCTGCTAGAAATGGGAATCACGATTTAGAAAACTAATTAGTAAATCAAGGTCATATTCAACTATATAGTCGAAATATAGATGAACAGAATTCAAGACGAACTACTTAAGTCTTGTTATTTTCTGATGCAATCAATTCTACACTTCTCACTTTATTCTCAACAGATCTGGCACGGGAATCTTCTTGGTACCATCATCATCACCACCATCACCATCATGATGAGCTCGTCATGTACACAGGACCAACGCCAACGGCGGCAGCGGCCATTGGCAAGTTCGGCCTGGACACATCCACAGAGGGTTATTTGAACGCAAGGTACAATGGTAAGCGTCCTCAGCCGGCCGGCAGGCATTCTGCCTACTCCTACCCCATTGTATCCTTACATACGAGTATATGTTATTGCCCTTATCCGTATCTGTTGCTGGGTGCACGGTTTTGTTTGATTTAGATATTTACACGGTTTGTTTATGAATTTTGTTTATGAGTTTTCATCACTAACTGACTGGAAAAACAGCCAGCGGCCTTGTTTTGTTAAACTTTTCACTTTACACACGCGCCTTTTTATTAAACAATCATCGCTTTATGAGAGAGACCTTCAAACATAAAATTTCTTGGACTTTCCTTACGCCAAGTCTGGTGATACTGGCTCACATAGTTACTGAGAATTTGAGCTTCATACAAACAGACAAACAGACGAAGATGCTTCCATCAACTGCTGTTCTCGTGCTAATCAAGAATCGAGTTAGAAGTCAAGAAATCAGAAATTCACTTTTTCTGTAAATATTGTAAAGCCTCTTTAAAGAGCTTGATAGTCATTTATTTTATTGACCAATAAGGAAAACTATAGTAGGAACTTCTGCAATCAATAGCGTTTAAGTCCATGTTATCTTTGCTCCCCAAATGTTTTCCATTCACAATGTCTAAGATTCGGGTTTTTTGTGACTGTTGACTCCCGTGCAGATGACATGCTTAATCTTCGTCCTCAAAGATATCCCGGCGTGCTGCTTAATACGAAATATTATCTAACAAAGGCACGCCCAAAAATAAGAAAAAATTATGTCAAACTTTTGCTAACAAACTCGCTAAAAACATTTTCTTGCATACTCCACACACCACTCTACATGCCCCATGCCACTTGCCACTGCAGTGAATGTTAAAGGCGTGCGGCATGAAAGAACATCAACTTTTTTCGACATACCCGCTGTGACGCACCCGTACTGTTACAGGTAAGTTCAATTTTCTGCCAATTCCCGAAGATGTGGATGTGGATGCCTTGGGTGGGCCGGCGTCTTAATGACAAGACAAGCCGCAATGCGTGCCACAACTTTAAGTCAATCAATATATATGGTTTCTCCCTTTACTTCGGACAGATTTCCATCATCGCCACCTGCGGGCATTTTAAAAAAGAGCGACGAAGGTAAGCATTGCGAACAAAAAAATGAACTTAAAAGGAATTATTAAAGTCATATGCTCATCATTTATTTAAATTATGCGCGTGGGGCGAGCTAGTGGTGGGGCTGGGTGGGACTGGGTGGTACAGAGTGGTGCGACTTTGCCGGCAGAGCACGCGCAAGGTTATCAGTTTTGCATGCCAATAACTCAATTTGTTTCAATTTTATTTTTTATATTAAAATGCAAGAAATCGCGCGCATAATTTACAATAACAATATCGGCGGTAGTAACCACACACTAATCCAATTGGCGGGCTCAGGCAAGGAATTCAATTTGTGTGCAACACGATTTTTTTCTTCTTTTTGTCCTACCAGTTAGTTGATTTTTTATCTAGCTGCTGGCGGAAGGGCAAAGGGTGGGGGTAGCATCATGGGTAGGGGGGCGGTATTGCAATGAGCAAACAAACGACTCAATCACAAGCCACTGAGTGGCTATGAGCATAGGCAGAAGGATGGAGTACGCTGGAGTAAGCGTGCCGCTGTGTACAATGGGCGAAAAGTTGAAGAAAGCGCACAAAAATTACAAATATTACGGGTAGTGCTAACAATACCAGAACAAATGGAAAAAAAAGTTGGCTTAGCAAAGTCTATAAATTTCGTTAAGAATAGTCAGAAGCTTCAAGGAAAGTTTAAGACTGGATTCCATCAGGCTTTCAAAAAGCATCTACTGCAAAAATAATATATTTTTTTTAGTTCAGTCACCCTGTATTAAATCAAGGTATATATAATCGTCAACAGCTTAACTTAATAATATCTACTAATTCTAAGTCAGATTCAGAAGCAGAAGAACACTTTTAATCAAAAGCCACTTAGTCATAAATAGTCTACCACCAACAAATTTTACTTCGAAGCGTAATTATTTATTTACTTGCCATAAAAAAGGGTTTTTTGAATTTTTTACAGATTGCTTACCTTTCTTATACAAAAGCTATATCAGTTGAGATACAGTGGTTCCTTTTACTCTCTCTAAAGCCTCTTAAACCGATAAATTTTAATTAATTAAATTAATTTAAACAATTAAGTTAACATTCCAGTTCAATCATAGATTAGAAAAACATATGAACGTTGCCTTAAAAGATATTAAACATGTCTTCAATCTATTAATTTAATGAACAAAATTATTCCATTGCAGACTAGAAAGTATTCATCGCGAAGATAAGCTTGAAAATATTATTCCTATACTAGTTCGAAACATATATACAGGGTGTGCCATGTTTATGTCGGTATGTAAACATTGAATATCTATGAAAATAAACAACCGATTTTCAAGTATGAGATATTTTTATTTAATTTTGTTCTGCACAATTTCTTCAGACTAATTTTTCAACACTTGTCTACTCAAGTCAATCGGTTCACTAATGACAAAGTTATTCAATATTTACATACCGACATAAAAGATGGCGCACCCTGTATTAAAGCAATAAGTATTAACATATTATTGCTACGAAATAGTTTTACAAGTACTTTCAAAGCTAAGAAAGTAGTTCTTTAAAAAAAAGGAATAATCTTTTCGCTTCTGTCAATATCTTTAGTTGTAAAGAAAAGTTACTGCAAAGATCTCTCCGATTCTTTTATAGTTTCGCTACGTAGATAGATAGGCATGTCCAAGCTATAAGAATTGGATGACGCGTGCTTAAAATATCATATATAGTATTAATAAGTATATTTAACATCTAACTGAAAATTAAGTTTTCGTCAGTTAGAGATAAACTTTGCAAACCAACGCGACCAAATTCCTCCGCTTTTATTAAAATTAAAATTGAAATTACAAGCAATTTCAAATTGTTTATAGCTTTTTTAAGTAATTACTTGTATTTTTGTTGCAATCTGCGATTCTACCTATATTTAAATTTTGCATAATTTCCCTGCACTAATCGTTAGGTTTTCCCCATTGTACGCCTCCGACTGCTGCAGAAGTTGAAACCACCCCATGCCTCTTAGGCGAACAAAACAATGCGCACTCGCCCCTGGCACCAATGGGAATCTTTTACTGGAAAACATACTCCCAGGCACACCCAACAGGTTCTGCAGCAGCTTTGTTGTTATCGTCAATGATGTTTTTGCTTGTCGACACTTGCTCATGGATTATGCAAAGGTATCTCTTGAATTTTTAATGCGCTGCGTCGACTCGTCCTGATGTGATTTTGAGTGAGCACTGATGAGGAGGACAAACAGGCATTCATTCTGCTGGCCAGATAGCAAGGCAGGCAGGCCACTTTGCTGCCACTTAATGAAAAGGGAAACCTGTCGACTCTGTGTGTGTGGGTGGAATCTGGGATAGGGATGGGGTTGGGATGTTTCAGTGCTCTGGTGTGGGTTTGTTTTGACGTTAAATTGCAGCATATTGAACATTTTATGTAGTGGCTGCTGTGCGAGTTTCCCAGTTGTTGCCCTAAATAATTCATGGCTGCTAAATACCTTCGGCCATTTAGCAACAAAATATAATTAGCAGTCACCCCTTACCCCGTTAGCTGCTGGCATGCTGGCCACGGTATTTATGCTGCTGCTTAAATGTGCATAAAAGCCGCTTTCATTTCGTCCTTTCTCCCTATCTCTCGCTCTCACTCTACTGTTATCTCCTTGCAGAAGGAGTCGCTGCTGCTGCTGCCGCATATTGCAACGATGCGGCCACGGTAGCTGCTGTTTCATCTGGCGGTGTGCCATTGGGTGGCCATCATTTCCAGCATAACACCAAAATCGAACATGCGGATTCGACGACGACAACAGCAGCCGTTGCTGCCGCGGCGAGTGCTCAGCAGCAGCAGCAACAACAACAACATCAGCAGCTCCACCAGCAACAGCAGCAACAACATGCCCAGCTGCATCAGCATTCGTCACATCAGCATCAACACCAAGCGCATCTGGCGCCGGTGCACTCGGCCTATAAGTTTACTCACACGGCAGTAATCAGCAGCTCCGGCGTCTATGCCAATCCCACGCACTACGCTCAGCAGCAACAACAACAGCAGCAGGCACATCATGGCACCAATGGAATCTATCGCGAGCTCTCGCCCACGACTGCGGTGGCCGGCACCGGCGAATCGGAGCTCAAGTACGACAGCAGCCCCTACAATGCGACCATCTCCTCCACGTATACGGCTGCACTGCGACCCAATGCCGTCGACTCGACCACGGCCACAGTGTCGTCCAGCGATGCGGAGCTGCGTCTGGATCAGTTCTATGCGAGCGGCGCCATATCCACGAGCCAGAGCATCAGTCAGCGCCGTGGCTCGCTGCAGCTGTGGCAGTTTCTGGTCGCACTGCTAGATGAGCCCACAACCAGGTGAGATGAACGCTGCTTTCTATTAGATTATGTTTAATTTTGTTGCTAAGCTGGTTCCGAAGATGATGATGAAGCCGAAATACTATAATTATCCATTTATCTTTTACATTAAAGTTCTAAAATAGTTGAAATTTTAAATCATACCATTCTTTGTTAATTAAGACAAGAATCTCAGAAAACTACATCTGTTATGGAACTATGCACATATTAGATTAAATTTGTGATTGACGAGATGATTCCGGAGATGATTGATTCTGCAATCTATTAGATTATGTTTCATTTTGTTGCTAAGCTGGTTCCGAAGATGATGATGAAGCCGACATACTATAATTATGCATTGTAACCTTTACATTAAAGTTCTAAAATAGTTGAAATTTTAAATCATACCATTCTTTGTTAATTAAGACAAGAAGCTCCGAAAACTATATCTATTATGGAACTATGCACATATTAGATTAAATTTGCGATTGGCGAGATGATTGATTCTGCATTCTATTAGATTATGTTTAATTTTGTTGCTAAGCTGATTCCGCAGATGATGATGAAGCCGCCGTACTATAACTAACCACTGTAACTTTTAGCTTAAAGTTCTAAAATAGTTGAAATTTTAAATCATACCATTCTTTGTTAATTAAGACAAGAAGCTCCGAAAACTACATCTGTTATGGAACTATGCACATATTAGATTAAATTTGTGATTGACGAGATGATTCCAGAGATGATTGATTCTGCAATCTATTAGATTATGTTTCATTTTGTTGCTAAGATGATTCCGCAGATGATGATGAAGCCGCCGTACTATAACTAACCACTGTAACTTTTACCTTAAAGTTCTAAAATAGTTGAAATTTTAAATCATACCATTCTTTGTTATTTAAGACAATAACCTCCGAAAACTACATCTTTAATGAAACTATGCACATATTAGATTAAATTTGTGATTGACGAGAAGATTCCAGAGATGATTGATTCTGCAATCTATTAGATTATGATTAATTTTGTTGCTAAGCTGATTCCGCAGATGATGATGAAGCCGTCGTACTATAACTAACCACTGTAACTTTTACCTTAAAGTTCTAAAATAGTTGAAATTTTAAATCATACCATTCTTTGTTAATTAAGACAAGAAGCTCCGAAAACTACATCTGTTATGGAACTTGCACATATTAGATTAAATTTGTGATTCACGAGATGATTCAGGAGATGATTGATTCTGCATTCTATTAGATTATGTTTAATTTTGTTGCTAAGATGATTCCGCAGATGATGATGAAGCCGTCGTACTATAACTAACCACTGTAACTTTTACCTTAAAGTTCTAAAATAGTTGAAATTTTAAATCATACCATTCTTTGTTATTTAAGACAAGAAGCTCCGAAAACTACATCTGTTATGGGACTTGCACATATTAGATTAAATTTGTGATTGAAGAGATGATTCCGGTGATGATTGATTCTTCAATCTATTAGATTATGTTTAATTTTGTTGCTAAGCTGGTTCCGAAGATGATTATGAAGCCGAAATACTATAATTATCCATTTAACTTTTACCTTGAAGTTCTAAAATAGTTGAAATTTTAAATCAAACCATTCTTTGTTATTTAAGACAAGAAGCTCCGAAAACTACATCTTTAATGGAACTATGCACATATTAGATTAAATTTGTGATTGACGAGATGATTCCAGAGATGATTGATTCTAATATTTCGAAAATATTAAAGAATACAAAGCAATTGTTCAATTAATCGGCTGCATAGAAAAAATCATCTCCAAACTATAATTTTTAAAGCACTGTTAGTTTAAGTTTGGAGTTTAAGTTTCAGATTGGCACAAATTCATTAAAATAATGCTCACAACAACGATCTTGCGGATTAGTATGCAACGACATAAATGGGGAAACATATTTCAGGGCAATTACTTGCGATGATGGGAAAAAATTAAATTATGAAATACGATTAAATAAGTGATTGCAGATATTAACCTCTTTGCGACTGTAGGAGACCTTGAATTGAGAAATAGAGGTTTTAAAAGGCCTATTTGTGTTATAATTTCCAATTAATTTTAATAACCCTTCTTTTACCTCTTCAGCTAGCAAAAGTTTGAAGTATTTTAGCATTGTTAAGACTAGGATCTCGATATTCTTTGTACATCTTACTAGCCGTAGGGCGAAATTATTGTGTATGATATCTATTAACAAATTGTTAGTCCGCGACATAAATACCATTCGATTCCTGAACTAAGGTTACGTTTAATAGTTCTATTCATATAAATTGTTTGTTATATCGGATTATTATAATGGAAGTCCTTCTTAGTGCACTGAACAATGCCATTTTAAACACCAATATCAGTTTATCGTTTGAGATTAATTAAAAGCCATTATGTTTCATCTCAACTGATAATTACTTTTGATGATACTTCGTGTTTGAGTGCCACTTTTTTGAAAATATATTATTATTAAGATACCTACAATTTGCTTCAGAGATGCTGAAAGCTAAATTCCACACAATTGTTTTTATAGTGAGGTAGTAAAAATGTAATTGTAATACGACTTCGTACGCCCTTCCCTATTGTTTCAGCGCCAGCTGCATTGCGTGGACGGGTCGCGGCATGGAGTTCAAGCTGATCGAACCGGAAGAGGTGGCCCGTCGCTGGGGCATACAGAAGAACCGGCCGGCAATGAACTACGACAAGCTGTCGCGGAGTCTTCGTTATTATTACGAGAAGGGCATCATGCAGAAGGTGAATGGGGAGAGGTATGTCTATCGTTTCGTATGCGATCCCGACGCACTCTTCAACATGGCCTACGGTCATCTGACGGGCAAGGGCGACCAGCACCACCATCAGCTAACCCTCTCGCTGACGAAGCCCGTCTCGGCGGAGGCCTCCCTGCGGGCGCACAAGATGCCAACAACAACAGTGACGACGACGGCGGCGTCGGATTATTACGACGCCGGCTTGCATAAGTATCAGTAGTGTGGGGGCGTGGCTTGCTGGGGGTAGCAGAGGCGTGGCCATTGCTCGTGTACATTGTGTAATTTATTTAGTTACATGCCATACAGTATATACTAATTATAAAGAACACCACACAAACAACAAATCTGTAGAACTCGAGCGTTGAGTTGCAAACAAAACAAATAAAAAATATCGTTTTCTGTTCGTTACATTTATCCCTCTATAAGAATGCATTCAATTTATTCAATGCACAATATTCTGATAAAATGAAAGACAGGAACTCTGAACATCGATATTCACTCCTCCACACGCTTCTTCTTTTTCTTGGGAGTGGACTCATCGTCGGAACCATCGCTACTTGAATTGGAGCTTGTGTTGGCACTGCTTCCGCTTCCGGTGCCACTGCCGCTGTCTAGCTTCCGTTTCTCTGGCCTGTCTGCACCACTACCAGCCAGCTTGCTGGCGTAGCTCTTGACCTTGTCCGGCTGTGGACTGTATGCCCAGTGTATCAGCTGCAGATGCAGCTCTGTTGGTGCTCCGCTCTCCGCCTCGAACAGTTTGGCATCCGCGCTCTTTATTTGCTCCAACAACTTGGCTATGTTTCTGTTGCGCACAATGTCCCAGCTTGTGGTGTCATCCGCCTCTGGGTACATGGTACGCAAATGCTTGTAGTTGCCCTTGGCTTTGTTACCGCCATAGGCGGCCAAGAACTCGGCGGCCAACTCGTCCTTTGGCTCTGGCAATTTGGCCACCACATCGTATGCCAAATAGGCGCGGTTGTCCTTGATGCGGTTCTCTGTTTCAAACTTTTCGAGAAACTCCTCCAGTATTTGTACACCCTCCTTGATGGAATTGATTTTGTCCTCGTTTTTGGTGCCGGAAAGCACACGTTTGGAGCTTCCAATCAACCCCTTGATGGCCAGTCTTTGATAGTCGGGATCGCGTTCAGCCAAAATGCTGTAATTTAAAGAGATTTGGAAGGTGAGAAAATTATGAGCATTATGTAGAATCTGATATTGGAAGAAGAGTATTTCCACATGAAAAACTAGTTCCCAGAAAAGGCAAAAGGAATACGAATATATTACCTTTCCTTCTATAAGAATGATGTTTCTTACAAAATTTGATTTTCATGCATAAATATTTCTCTCAAGAATACTTTGATGGTTAACCAAATTATTTTCTTAAAAGAAACCGCTTATTGTATTTTTTTAACAAGAGATAATGCTCCCCTGTACCCAAGCCAGCTCCTGCAGCTTGTGGGCGTTTTTAATTGCTAATAACTTTCTTAGAATTGACCGATTTCGATGCAATAATGTAATTTACTTTATTTACGAAGGCAAAGTCTTAATTTTTGACAGTATTGCCGAAATTCTGTAGCGTGGATGAGAGGAAAGTATCTAAATAATAATAAAACACACCCATGTTGCCGAGATATTAGGAGAGTCTACATATCAAATTTTATCAATAAGAGCTTAGTGGTTTACGAAATCCAGACGTTCATCCAGACAAACGATTTGCTCGTCATTCTGATTAAGAATATATATCTTCATGTTGCCCTTCTGATACAGGGTGTAAAAAAATGCAGTTTTTATTTAATTTCTTTTTCTTTATAAATGCTGTACTGGAGAATCTGTTTCTTAGTATTTATGATGAAGTTATAAATGACGCTATCTCAGCTTTATATATATATAGTTAGTATAGACGAAATAATGTAACAAAAATAATATAAACCATTTCTAATCACGTGCAATGGGGCTTTAAAAGTTTACATATAAATAAAATATAAATGATCCTGGATGTAGAATGTAGATGTGGTTAGAACTCGAAATACGTATTGTGATGAATTCAAATACTTTCGAAATGGTTCAAAACTGCTTCGTCTGTTATAGACTATCACGATATGGTGCCCCTAGCCCTCTGCTAGCTTACATGATTTAGCAATCATTTCAATTTCTAGGCTCAGGAGTTAATGTTGGCAGTTATGAAAAGTTAATATCACATATCCTTTCAATTCAGCAGAACTGATAAATGCGATGAGTTCCCAGCAGTCCAATTAACGGAGGAAAGAATATTGATATCTCTCAAAACAGATGCATATTTATTCAGATATAAGTAGCAAAGAATATAAGCAAAGCGTGGAATGTGCCAAAAATGTGACTAGCTATTTAAACAAGTATTGTGCACACAGAGCTCAAATGGATGCGCCACAAAGACCCAGACAAATACAGTGGATGAGGAAGAGGGAGAGGGCGAGAGAGAGAGAGAGAGAGATAGAGTAAGAGGGAGCGTATGCCGGCAGCGCTGGAGCTCGCTCTAGACAAAACTATATTTCCGAGTCGGGTAATATCTATGCGTGTGCGTTATAAACGCTCTAAAACAGTGACATGACATCATAGCAATCAATGGCTGGCCAAACATTGAACGGCGACCTTCGGCTGTGGGGCAAACGTTTGTCATAATAAGCAGCCGCTGCTAATTAATATGCGCCCACAAATCCAGAAAGAAAATAAATAAACAAATAACTTACTTCAGAGTAGCCAGGGCGGCCTCCTTGTCCTTGAAACCCAAGCCGGGAACTGTTTCCACTTTGTCCTCACTGTCAGTCTTTGCATTCTTGTTGGACGCACCGCCGCCATTCTCGGCCAGCCATTTCTCGAAGACATCGATGGCCTCATTAATGTTCTTCAATTTATCTGCCGCCTTTGTCACTACAGGCAATTATATATATAGAATAAGTGACACATACAAATGCATGTATAGATCAGTGTATAGATTAATTATAACTTATATATGTATGTATATACTGTCGGTATAATTAGAAAACAACTTACATGTCAGCACCCGTTTAGCGCGTCCCAACAAACCGCGAACGGTTAACTTCCGATACTGCATATCATGGCTCTCCAGCAACTTCAAAGTCTCCAGCGCCTTCTCCATATCCTTGAATCCAAATTTCGAATCACCCTCCGACATTTTGTATTTTGAACTTAATAATCCTCAATGAAAATAAACAAGACAGCGACTGCTTCGCACTGGCGTCAAACTACGACTGATTTGGTCGACACCAATATTTTGAGCTCACCAGCCCGCTGCTCGGCCATTGAAAGAGCACGCCGGAGAGTCGCTGAGCGTGACAGAGAACGGACCGGCAATTAGATAAGTGCCGCAAAATAAATGGATGATGACAGCACCACAGAACCACCAGGAACAGGGGAAACCAGTTTGTTTTTGTTTGGCCGCACGAGTCGAGCAAAACAAAGACGCCAAAACCAAGACAGCAAAGGTATGTCAGCTGGCTGATGACGTCATTATCCCGATAAGGTCATATACAAATATGTATGTGCATACAAAAAAGTCTATAATATCAACATAATACGCAGAGTAACTCGTAAATTAAAACATGAAGCAACATAAAGTAAATGAGAAGACCCATCGATAAATGGATAATTCTTAAGATATTTTCAACTTTATTTGAACCAAATCTGTTTTCTCTAAAATCATTTACTATATACAAGGTTGCAGTCTGAATTTACAGAATTCTTTGCTTGGTATAGTGAAGTTTTAGGTACATTTTTAAGTTGTTGACAATTATAAAGTTTGATGTAAAAAAAAAACAATTGTGCTAGAACCCGGATTTTAGGTGACTCCGATATTTTCTCGTATATTTGTAGCGAATAGATAATAATAAGTATATATACCTGCAGCTTAAAAATCAATATCAATATTTGTATGCCCCCAAGATTATACCTATGTATGTGTAGTGCCTGAAGAGCGTCTGTCTGTATACCTTGTAACTGCATTTATCCCAGCTACAGACCTTCAACTTAAACTAAGCAATCATGCCTTGTAGATTATTTAGAGGCACTATAAAAAATTCTAATAATGTTAAATATTCATAAAAAAAATAGTCACTCTAGTAAGATTAGCAAAGTTCCTCTAGTAATTGGATCGTTTCTATGGCAAACATGGCATTACATATGGATAAAATAATTTTACATTTGGATTATTGTATACTCTAGCTGTTAAAGTACAAAACGAACGAAGTCGAACCGAATCGACACAACTCCTTCTGCCTTTTACATAAATGTGATGTTTAGACTTTCACCAAAGCTAGTTATATTTCATTTAATTTTACCTCCACAGGATTATAAAACAACAAGTTTGTAAATCTGTTTGATTTATTAAGTGAACTCATTGGACACAGTGCCATCGCAGTGCTAAACTTTTGAACTTATACAAGAACTTAGAACTAATTGCAGTTGCGTCGAATCTGGAGAACATCGTCAAGCATGTAATTGCGTAAATGACAAAGGGCTTGTACGACGTTAGCGCCATTGGCTTGGGCATTGGGTCCCAGCCAATGGATGGGCAGTTGGGGCTTGACCAGCTGAGCGGGCGTCACAGGTGAGAGGGCCTTGCGCCAACCATTATTGCAGTTGGCTACATTCAGATGACTGCCAGACTGCAGACTGTCGATGTACTTGATGTACGCCTCCGAGTGGATGACCCGTTGGGCACGCGGCGGCACTGTCACAAACATTGGCTCTGGCGGTGGGCCGAGCACGATGGACTGCTGTTGTTGCTGCTGCAACTGTTGTTGTTGCTGCTGCTGCTGTTGTTGCATTTGCAGCTGTTGCTGAGCTGCCTCCGAAGTGTTGGCGGCCCGCGGAGATAGAGTATTGTTGGGCACACTCGTTGTGGCATTGGCCGTTTGGGGCTGTATTTTCTGCTTGCGGGGCACAAAGTTCTTGCTACGCTCTGAGACTGGCACCACTTTGCCGCCCTTATTCAAATGCACCTCACGCACATGCTTAATAAGACGAAGTGAATTGGGAAAAGCCTGGGTTGTCTTGCGAATGCGCGGACAATTGCGCCAAAGACACACATACTCCGGTTCCACACCCGCCTGCGGATGGCGCTGTATGTGCCCAGTAGCCTCGGACAGGCAATGTTCCGTACAATCGGGTAGTTCCTCGAATTGAAAATCGCATTTGTCCCACTGGCATTCATAGGTGAGAATTGGTGGTGGGTCCTGGGCGGAGGCGGGCGCTGGACTGGCGCAGTTCTGATCGTCCATTTCGCGTCGCAGGGCGGCAGATTCTTCATTCAGTTTACACGCACGATCTTCCCAGCTCTGCTTAACGCTGGCCGGCAGGTTTTTCCATTCGGTGCCCACCATGCGCGAGATGTCACCAAAACTGGCATCTGGATTACTTTGGCAAATGCCTGTCGAGGAATAAGGGATAAGATAAGGATCTCCACTTCACAAAAGTATGCTCATTTTCCTAAACTTACCTTTGCGCACCTCGCTGGAGTAGAGTATGTAGCCAGTGAGGCACTTCTTGGCCGTCTTGTTTTTCACCTTAGAGGTGAGTGGCGTAGAGTTGACCGATGGTGCCGGTGACGAGATTGTGGCAATGTCTGAATTTACGCTGGGCGGATCGCCATCCATGGAGTCCTCCAGAATGGTTAATTCATTCAAATCATTTTTAACATCTTTGGCTGGTTTGATCGGCGTCTTAAAGTAGAAAATCTCATCCTGTGTGACCTCAGCGCTGTGTTGAAATTTACGCAAATTTCCAACGACCAACTTCCGTAATGCCTTCTTCATTTCGTCGTAGACCGATTCGCATATATAGACATCAGATTCAGTAATTTCCGTTGGCCGTGAGCTTATGAATTCGGAATATTCCAAGACGGCACAACGCCCCACAATGCCAATGACAGGACTGATCTCTTCGACGGTGGAGAGCAACAGCTCTTGGCGATAGAATTGCTTGCCTAGTGGAGGAGAAATTTCATTTGGTGGTAACAGCCACGGACCCTTAAAGTATGATTTTCCCTGATTCTCCCAAATTTGCTGGACCTGTGCAATTGATTGTTTGCCCGTTTGCGTGGCCACATAAACAAAGTCACCGGTTTTTACGACACCACTGCATATAGTGTTGTATTGTTGATAGTACACGCTACTGTCCTCTGAATTTGGTGGCGCATCGCACTGCACATTGGGCTTCTCCTTTTCGATGAGCGCTTCCTGCAACTTGAGCTCTTCTAATTCGCCCTTATGCTTCTCAATACGCTCCTTGAACACGGACATTACTCGCTTCAATTCAAGTGGAGTCTCGCGTGGTACAAATTTTATGGAACTCTGATCACGTGCCGAGGACCAATTCTTAAGTTTCTTAAAGCAGCGTCCCTGCAAATTGTACCGCGACTCGCACACAAAAACGTCCTTTTCGGGCAGCCCATCGGGCCTGAGTTTTATGTAGTCTTTTATGTGCATTACCATGGTCATGCCCAGAACTTTGTCCATGGAAATGGTCTGTGAAATGCTGGTCTTGAACACCTCCATCTCCAGAAATTTACGCGTGGTCACATGATAAGTCTCATGTGGTCGTAGGAAAATATTAGCCTGCATCAATTTCTCATTCGCAGGCGTTGTCCACAGCCGTTCGATACACGCAATAGTCGGTATCTTATTCTCCGGCATCTGTACATACACATAGTCGCCGGGTGAGTAAACCTGCTGATTAATTGTCATGCTTTCGCCCTTGCCGCTGCTACTGAACTCATCCTTCTCCTCCTGATCCTGCACCTCTTGAGCGGCTTTCTGCTGGCGTGTTACCTCCACATCGGCCAGCAGTTGTTCCAGAGTAAAGTTTAACGCAGGTGAGCTTAAGGTTTCCTTGCACAGCTCATCGCGTTTGCGTATGAAAAACGTTTGCAGCTCAATGGAGTCCTGAAAGATGTCAGAGTCGGTGCGGGACAGCTTTCTTGCTCGTTCCATGCAGCTGAAGAAGTCTTCCTGATAGGTATCTAGGCGTTTATAGGCGCCTTTGTCCAGACGACGCTTGACCAAATCCAAGGAAATACCTCTTAGTTTTCCACCCTCGGGCAGCTCATCGTATTCTGGCAATTCAGCCAACGAGTCCGAATAGCAACGACCCTCCTCATCCTGATGATTGTAGAGGGAGGTAAAAAGCGTGAGGAAGAGCTCTTGCACGGCCAGTGGAACATCGGGCAGAGCATCGCGTTCCGTACGCATTTGTTGTTTCAGCTGCAACGTCATTTGCTGCAGCACCAGCGCATCTTTATAGATCTGCGAATCGGGCTCATTGTATTTGCAAGCATTCTCCAGCATCAGCAGGAAGTCGGCAGCTAATTCGTCCACACTCTCGTATGAATTCTGCTTGAGCTTTTGTGCAATGCGCTCCATATCAATGGGTTCCTTTATAATGTCATAGTAATCGGGATACTCATTCTTTGATGGCAGCTTTGTAAAGATTAAGGACAGTTGCCGTTTTCCCTTAGGCTCCTGATATTCGCGCAACGTTTCATAGAATTGCCACAGACGATCGCTTATTAGAGCGGTTTTGGGCCGGCGTCCCAATTTTGTATATTTCTGAATGGGTTTCTTAACATCGGCCAGCCCGGGAAACTCTTTCAACTTCTCATTTAACGCACGCTCCAAGGTGTTGGCATCTTCATATATGTTTGAGCCCTCCTCATTATACTGCCGGCAATTGGAGAACATCAACCTGTAGTCAGAAACCACATCCTCAACGGTCGCATATCGATCGGTGCGTATATTATGTTCGATTGTGTTCATATCGATGGGATTCTGTATGATATCATAATAGTCCGGGTAAACTTTCCGAGGCGGTTTCTCCATAAACAATTCTATCGGACGCCGATTTGCCACAGAATAATCCACCAGATATTTCTGTATTGTCAATATTTTCTTTTTTATGGCCGCATTTATAGCAATCCGATTCGATTTAGGGGAGTTCGAGTTGATGGGTGTATGTGGGATACTCGAATTGGAGTTGACGCGTGGGCGACCAGGCTTCCGCTTCTCAGGCTGCGCATTGGCCGCAAATGCATCATCGTTCTCGTCCTCCTCCAAGTCACTAGTTTCCTCCAATGATTCCTCCACCAGCTTGGCATTCATAATTTTCAGCATCTTAAGGGCATCTTTGTGGGTGCGATGTGTGGCTGGAAATGCCTTCTTAGCATTATCCAACATTAGATACAGATCTCCAGTGAGATCACTTATATTCGCGTAGTCACCCTTCTTCAATTTGTTGTGTATTTGGCTCATAGAAATGGGACGTTTGATCAACTCGAAATATTCCGGATGAAAACGACGCACGGGCAGCTTCCACAGAGAGTTTCCTAAAGGAGGGCCCGTTATGCCCGGATGATCGGTAGTTCCAGGCGCATTATACAAATGATCAAAGAGCGCCCACATGGGCCCCTCACCCTTTTTGTGCGTCTCCTCATCCTCTGAGCTATCCACTTCTTCTTTGAGAGCTGCCAAAAAAGCATTAAACAAATCAAAAAATTTAATAAATGTATAGCTGGACTTACCCGCAATACTGGCACTGGAAAGATTCCGCATGCGCTTGGCAAGCTTGCCTTTGCCGGTCTCCAGCTCAATGCGCCGCTGTGTGAAGATGCGTTTCATTGCCTTGGCATCCTTATATACTTGTGATCCAGGCTCATTAAACAAGCAAGCATTTTTGGTCATTTGCAGCAAGTCACGCTCCATTTCAGCCAGCGACGAGTAGGCATTCATTTGTATCTTGGTGGCAATCAGACGCAAATCAATGGGATGCTCAATCACATCATAATAATCGGGATAGACCTTCTTTGAGGGCAGAAGCAAAAACATGCGATGCATAAGCCTGTCATTCACTGGATCTGTTGCCGTCATAATTGATGCGAATAGTTCCTCATACTGATTAAAATCGTCTTCCAGTTCACCACCAGGCTCTGTGCTGCCAGTCAATCGGCGCGCGTTTCGTGGCATACGTTTAGCACGTGGCTCCTCCTCAGCAAAGCCATTGGCCTCCAAAATGCGCTGCCGTTGCGCCTGAATGTGCTGCCACAAAGCAATTGCGTCCTGATATTCAACTGAGTCCGCTTTGTAGAAGGCCTTCGCATTGCTTATTAACAATTCCAAGTCGTTCATCAAGTCGTCGATATCGTCGTACGAGTCTGTCTTGAGTTTTTGCTGCACTTTGAGCAAATCGATGGGATTTACCACCACGTCATAGTAGGAGGGCTCCTGCCGTCGCTTCGGCGCTCGTATAAATGTATCGCACAATGTGGCGCCGTCTTCCTTTTTGATATTGCGTATGGAATCGTACAACTGCTGACACATTTCCGATGGGTCTAGGCGCCGCTTTTTTCGCGCCGATTGTGTGTGTTGCTGCTGTTTGATGACAAAGTTCATTTTTCTTAATATACAGTTTGTAAAAATTAAAGTATCTGACTAATTTATAAGCTTTTGCAGAATTAAATAATTCGCATAAATATATCATTTTTGTTAAACTTGTTTTGTATAAAATTCATATAACATTGTTTAAATTACCAGCGGCGACTGTTCGGGTGTCGAATCATCCAGCTGCAGTGGATCTTCATCTTGGCGGCTGGAAATCGAACTGGCGCGTCGTTTACGGCTTAGCATGCTCTGGCCGTTTTAATTTAATTTACTGCTAATTTAGCAACTATATAATATATAATAATATAAAATATATTAAAAAAGCGACGCCAAGAAAATGCCACACAAAAACGCTGCTTTAGGGATGTACAATTGCTGTTATCGATATTTTGCAACCGATGTCCGCAATTTATTCGATGTACCAAAGTTGTTGTTGGTGGTGGTATACCCTCATTACACGCTCACGGTCGTGACTTCTATTGAAGCAATGCTTTTAAAGCTGGTATGGATATTTATTAATTGATTTGAAATGTTTCCGCACCGTATTTCACTTTATTGCGTGCAAATATTTATGTTATGTCGTTTGTCGAAACGATTATTTGTAAACGATCTTTTAATAGCTCAATAATCTATTTACTTACTTCTTTGAATCAAATATGTTAAAAAAATCTAAGGCCACTTTGTTAAAAAAAAATCAGCTATAAATTTCATAATTGGAATAATAAGCCTCTGATATAACGAACAACAGTCAGTCAATAGAGCAGCCCAATTAAAATTGACAAAAATTATTTGTTTAAAAAATATTGGTGTCCATTATATATTCCAATGGAAATAATATGAATGTTTAGATTCTTGAATATGTACCCTTCTTCCTCTCTTTTTACAAAAATGCTAACTTCGGATTTTGAATTCTTTTTTGTACCTATCTTTCTTATGGCAGCTATATGATAAGGTATTTGTATTAGACTATGGTAAGGTGATATAAAAAACTATTAAATGCCAGTTTTAGTTACGACATTGGAATAGAAAGGTTTTGGTTAGATTGATTTCTACCGTCCCTATGGCAGCAATATAAAATAGCTAGGCCATATGTTTTGAAAGATACTGGATAATGAAATGGTCCAAAAGTTGTCGCATTCATACGAAAGAACACCTCGTCGTGCTAATCATACAATATACTTATGTACCCATTAAATTGTGCAGTCACGGTTTTTGTTTTCAGAGTTTAGGTTTTTTAGTATACGTTTTTACCCTTTGGGTATAAGGTATATCAGCCATAGATGAGTTATTGTTCTTCTTATCCGCATCAAAGTTTTTTAAGAGTTCATTTAGACCGTCTTGATCCTTGTTTCGTACGCTCGCAAATATTAAGACAACCGGAATAAGAAAACGAATTCCCACAGAATAAAATAAAATTAATTACTTTTACGCAATTTATACTTTATGCTTTAATCTTCATTTTCACATATACTCGTACATATACACATAGTATGTTAGGTATTAGTTGAATTATGTATTTGAATACCATATATATTTGTTAATTTGCAGCCTTAACCCATGGTTCTGTTTAAAGCTGAGAATTACAGAAAAATGCCAAAACAGAAAATATATGTCATTTACTATATATTTGTTAAATAAATACATTTCGTCTACAATAAACTACTATTTTCATCATAATACAAATATCATCACAGAAGGAGTTAATAAAGTGCTAATAATATGCTCCTCAGGCCAATAAAAAGAACGCAGTCAGGCTGTAAATAAACAAATAATAAACATTACAAAAAATAAATTCAAACGATTTGAGAACATGCCAAGCGTTGGTTGCATTCGTTAAATGAAACAAGCTGTTCATGATAAGTTAATATCGTTAAAATGTATTTATTTACTTTATCACATAAAATTTAGATGATTGTATGCTTGTATGTATGTATGTATAAAGGGTGTTAGAAATTTGAGTATGCCACGAACTATGATGAGAATTAAATAAAAAATGAAATGATGTGGTATGGAGCCGCTCTTCATCTTATTCTCTACTTAAGGAACATTGTTTAATAATATAGATAATTGCCTTAATCGAATATATACGCAAATGTTTACATATACAAGACTGTCGTGTTACATTTAAGCTAAATTGCTGACTGCAATTTGTTGCACACGCACAACATTTAGTAAAAATAATAAAAATATACAAGTTAGTACAACAAACATGAGATTTTATATGACGAAAAGGCGACCGTGTGGGTATCTTCCCACAAAAGGCCATTGCCTGATCTGCTAATGTGATCAACAATTAATCCCGCAAATAAAAGGGAACAACATGTATGTAAATATCAGTTCTGCACTACTTTTATAAGTTTTGACTTTATCTCAATATTTCATCAATATTTCCGAGCGCTACACATTGCCTTCTCAACAGTCCATATCGTTTGCCTGGCGACTAGTGGCCTTGGTGGTAGTAATCGGGCGTCTACTACTTCTATTCCTATGATTAACACTTAGATTATTGCTGTTCTGAGACTTGGCATATAAACTAGCCAGATTTTTAAGCGGCGACATTACGACAATGCCCTCGCGCTGCCGCAAACGCTCCAAGACGCGCCACAGGAGCTTGAGGAGCCCGGCGCGAGTGGCGTCTTTGTCGTGCCGCTTCAGTAAATATCAGTTGATAAAGCTCATGTAGTTAGTAAAGAGCACATAGTTCTCCACTAACCGTGCGCGTAGCTCGCGCCGCACCGTCGCCGTAAATTTGTTGGCCAAGCACAGCGCCGTCGTCGTCCCAAACACCAAATTGTATAGCAGAACAATTTGAAAATTGCCAAGCCACTCGATTGCCCCAAAATCGCCGAGCAAATCGAAATTTGTAATGCCTGCAATACAGAAAAATAATGATTTTGTTAATTGTGATTGTTTAGAATAGAGTAGAGATAACAATATTTTAGAATCTTCACAAGCGTGTGGCTTGTGGAACTAAATTCGACGAGGAACTTTGAGTTTCAATAATTGGAACTTTTTCGGAATTAAGTTCATTTCCAGGAACATGTATAGTTCCCTAAATTAGATTATATATTTTTTCAAAATCTCGAAAACGGTTGTTCTAATGAAATGTATTGAGATTTGTTGACTGACATCGATATAATTGAAGTAGATTTTGAATAGCACTAATAAAGATGAAAATGGAAACCAACTTTTAAGAATTATTTTTTACGTACGAGTATTAAAAATTAAAAAACCTCTTAGAAATGAAGATGAAAACAAAAATTCAAGAAAGTAATGAAACCTATTCCTCTAAATTCCTCTCTATGTACCCAATTTTTTCGTACTATTTTACATTTAGTCATCTTATAAACTCACCAAAAGTTTCATCGCGATGGTTCTAAAACTTTGAGATGACTAGTGATTGAAACAGACGAACAATTAATTATTCCTGCTTCACCTTATTATTAATTTGGATTATTCGTTTTATTCGGATTAACAAAATTACATTTTAAACAAATGTAATATCGGTTTAAAAACTTTCAAAACTATAGTCTTACCTATAATGCGACTTAGTAACGGCAGTGCCGAGGACAACACCAACATAATGCCACAGTTTAACATTAGCTGTGGTAATGAGGTGTTGCGCTTCTTTGGTCGTACGTTGCGCATAAAGGGCATGCTATAGAAACCCACCACAGAAGTGGCTCCCAAATAGAAGATCAAGCAGACTTCTAGACTAGCACCAATGGGTCCCAGTTTCGACAGCGATGAAATGCCCAACGTGAATTGCTGTCAGCAGAGTAATACAAGTAAGAAGTATAGTTTCAATTAGCAATAGTACAACAATTTATTATATAGACTTACCCTTGTGCTCAGCGGCAGCGCCTTAATGCCAATCAGTAGCTCCAGCGTATTCTGCACCACCAGCAATATGGTCATGCCGGTGCAGAAGAGGAGGAGCAGCATGGCCACTGGGTAGATGAATGTACGTTGAAATGTGCTGGACTTCTGCAATTTGTCCAGCTCTTTGCGCTCAGACGCCAATTCTCTCAGTCTTTCGTTGAGCTGCTCCTGCTGGGCGGTCACATCACTGCCCAGCACCGCCCGTTGATACAGATGCGCTAGCGAATGATGAAGTGGTGCGTGGCTGCGATTTCGATTGGTCATATGACCATTCAAAGCCCCCGATTCACTGAAACTCACATTCTGCAGCTCAATGACAGCCAACTTGCGCTTCACGCTGGCCTCCTCCAAGTAGAAGGCTGTTAGCTCCTCGTAGGGATCACGCAGGAGCAGAGGCTTCGCCAGAACCTGGTTAACAACACCAAAGAGGCGTATAAAACCGTAGGGTGTGCAAACTGAAAGATGAATGGAGAACAAGTTAGAAACATTATTGATTGAAAGTACTGCTTTATTATATTCAAGCTTAACCAGTTTCTGAGTTCTAAAATAGACTTTTCGACCTTAATCAAAATTATATAACAATTTCTTAATCTTAAGCTTATAAAAGGACTTATTAAAAATGTAAACAATTTAATTTCTATCTAGGCTATTTAACTCTAAGTTTGAACACATCATGATATCGACAACCATCTATAAAGTATATTATTGGAGTGCCATATGATTTTCATTCAAAAAATAATTTTACCCCGATGTGTAAGACAGCCTCTTAGTAGTTCGGATCGGTCGGAATGATTATAATAAACATTTGTGTGGAGAAAGGGAATTTAAAGCTCTAGTTTTAAGGTACTTTTAGAAAGCCTCATTATTTTCCAAACTCTATTGTGCGTTGTCATGGTTATCGGGGTAACTAAGTAGTCTTGGATATAAACAACCACTTACTAACAACAATTTATTCTGTAAAAAATAGACCGGAAATTTTTTAAACAAATTTATAAAAATGGCTACCAGAGACATAAGCGACTTTGTAGATTTTGAGGCGAAAGTTCAGCACATTATGGAGGTGCTGGAGGGACGTGCCGATGACGAAGAGCCCCTTCCTGAAGAAAGACGCCAGACCAATTTTGAAAACATTGATGTTGACAATGTGCGTTTGAAAGTGCGCGAAAATCGCACAGTCATTAACAAGAATGCAGATGACAACAAAACTGGAGCCAATAATATGCAGACTACAGATGTGGCGACCTTTATGCGAGATGTAGAAAGGGATGCCAACGAACGTGCCGAAGATCGTGCTAAATGCGAGAGCGAAGCTCAAAAGCATCGCAGGTCAGTCGTAGTTTAAGCCCATTGGGTAAATATTTATAAAATATTTCAAATATTTATATTAAACCCCCTTTTGAAACTGTGGTCAGACAAATATTTTTCTGTTTGAGCATATCTTTGGCTAACTTCTTTTTTTTCATTTCTTCCACTCTAGCCAGGGAAATGAAGCATTTCGTAAGAGTAATTATGAGAAGGCCATACTACACTACACCAAGTCCTTGGAGCGCATTAAAAAAAGCGCCATAACCTACAATAATCGTGCCTTGTGCTATATAAAGTATGCTAACTGATTAATCTGAATTAATATTACACTAAGCATGCTTCTTAAAATACTTCCAGACTCAACAACTATAAACGCGCATTGGAAGATTGCGGCTATGTTCTGGAGAAGCTAGATGAGTCCAATTTGCGTGCCTGGCTCTACAGTGCCACAGCCTACAAGCGTCTAAATGACAAATCCAAATTTAAGGCTAGTATTGAGAGCGCTCGCCAATGCAACCCAAACCAAGTGGCCTACATTGAAAAGTTTATTCAGCAAATGGACTTGACCATGTAATAATTATTAGCCCCTAACCGATTCTATTGTGTCAATCCCTTACATCAATATAATTGTTATTAGCAAGCATATATCAAGCAGCACACACTATTTATTGTGTAAACTATTCTTGGTATCGTACAAGTAGAATATAATGTCTGATTGCTTGTTGATACCAGAGGTGAAAACAGTTTGTAGAATGAGAAGAATATTCTCCAGGGTCGTATCAGAATTAACAATTAAATTAGTCTAATTGAAAAAAAAAAAATTGGTTACTCTTAAGAACACCCTCAGAACTATATTTTCAATTGAAAACCACAGCAAAGTATTTTTTAGTCAACTAAAAATTAACTACAGCATAATTTGTTTCTATAAGAATTTAAATTTTACAAAGTATAGACTTAATAGATTTAAAGAAAATACGCCCTATGATACCATCGTTTGTTACCCTATACAGACTAATGTTGGGTCCATAATATGGACTCTGCAACTCTTAAGCTGTATTTTCTCAATTTTAAATTAATTTATATAAAAAAATGGAGTGTAAACTGTCATTAAAGCATATAGATATTCCCATTACTTATTGGTTATAATCCATGTTTGGATAAAACTCCTAAGCTTTGTATGAAACGATTCCCATTATATTTTCTTATTGGATCCAGAAAGCAGAATCGTCGGAAAAGTCATTTTCCAAGTCACTTAATGGTCGATTTATTTATAAATACAATTGAAAAATGTCAATATGGTGTAATTAACTTACTCAGCATTAGCATAACGCCCAGAAATGAGACGCAAGAGTAAAGGAATGGCAAGTGTACGCTGCCCAGGCCTGTGAAGCGTGAAGAGCGGAAATTAAATATTCATAGAATTCAGTGTGTGTTTGACAAAGAGGTACTATATACATACGTTTAGATCGGAGACAAAGGCTATCGCTACCGAGGTGCAGGCCACACACCCACACGCAAACTTGGTAGACTAGAACCGTTTCCGTTTGCCAAACACACACATACAGATAGACTGGCAGATGCAAACAAACCCATCATTGTGATACTTACTTAGAAACCAAAAGAACTGAAATTTTTCAATGCCAAACACAGCGGAGAGTACGGCGGTCAGCACTAAGACTATGATAGCCATTAGCATAAATACTATAAAGGTTTCATAGACGCGCGCCAATATGCCCTTCTTGTGACCCACGAAGCCCGTGGATTCGGAAAAGAGATACACAAATGGCAGAAATATGAAGAGCGATAGGTTGGAGAAGAGAAATACGTGATTCCAGAGACCTGCAAAGCAACAAAGAACTCATTTTAGAAGTTAGTTCTGGAAAGCAATTAACGTACTCACCCTGAATCAACGAGCTATTTAGCCACTTGACATAGTAGCTGTTGGGATAAAGCAACAGAACCTCATTGCTGGCTATCGAGACAGGCAGGAGCATGGCAGCTCCTCCGGCCACCGCTAGCGTGAATGTGCAGAGCCAGAAACTGCAAGAGATGGACAGAGAGAAGCCAGAGATTATAGACATTGGGGGACGACAGATGGCCAGTTGCATGAATGAATGCTGATGACTGGGTAATTAGCCATGCAACAGGTTGTTGACTTGCCGATCGCTTCAGCTATATATAGACATAGATATGTAGATACACTACCTTATGCGATAGACAAGCACCTCATCCTCGTCATTCGAGTAGAGATCGTCACGATCGCGACGTCGATACCGAGACACCACCACATATGAGGTAAAATATAGCAATATTATTAGCAGCAAAAATATCTGAAAAGAGAATGGGATATGAATTGGGAGACCACTTGAGTAAAATTTGATACATTTTTCATGTTTTTGTTTACAATATGCGTTGTTTGTATTTATATATGTGAGGGATTCAAAAGATTTTCAACCATTTGTTTGCTAAGCTAACACGTCAAGTAAATACAGACAGGCGGACACATTTTTTCATTCTTTATCGCCATTATATACTTAGTATATGCACATTGAAATTACGGGTATATTTGTTGCCACAAGTGTACAAATACCCAAAACATTTGGTTGCTACGTAATGTCATTCTGGCTGTGAAGGTACAAATGAATTCGAATTTCCTCAATGTCCTCAACTTTATATTTAATTATTCATGGATTTATATTTATTACTGTACTTATTTAAGTGACTGAGGGTTATGTGGTTGCTTATGAACTTATGAGCTGCAGAAGGCAAGCTAACATTAAGCTTTGAATAGGTGTTCATTAGAATAGGTGTTTCAAGGCGTAGCAGTACTATATATACATATGTATATTTTTGATCGATAAGTTGGAAAATTTACCATGAAACGTCACACAGTAACGCAAACAATAGACATTGTTTAATCAAGTGCCGCCTGAAACGTCAGCGTGAAGCTACATACAAAAGTTTTCCCGAAACGACTTCGGCCCGGCCGCAGTGAGGGACAGAGTTCATCCAAACACTTCACAATGATTAGGCACGAACGATCTCTACTACCAACAAGATAGTGGATTGCCACACAAGTTGCGCAAAAAATGATTGACAATCCTACCAAAGTCTTGCGATTTAAAAGCATTATTTATTTATTTATTTAAATCAACAAGTGGATCTGTCGATTTATTCAATAACAATATATAAGTATTAACATTTTATATATATATTAAGATTTAAAATTAAAAATTCAAATATGATTAATATAACATAGTCTCAACTTAAAAGATAAGAAAGCCTACGAAAAAGCTGTACAATAACGTCTATAAATGCCCCCGACACGTTGGGGGAATTTTATTTGCCAGTTGGCCAGCTATGCCCCGATTCACAGCCATATGTGGTCAGAGACATTATAGATTTCATTCTTCATTCATTCATATAGAATCCCAATTATGCGAAAGAGTATTCTCAACTCTTGGAAAATGAAAGCAGATTCAAAACAGATATTGTGTTTTATAATACCAATATACTTATAACTATCTGTAATAGTCCATGCGTTTAGATCGGTACGGGTTATTTATTGTGAAAGTCTTTTTGTATGCATTTTAAGTATTCTTGATACACCCAGACATAACTTTTTTCAGCTTACGATATTTCAAGTCATTTGAATCAAACCTTTATTCATTTTCAACGCATTTCTGCAAGATTTCAGGATTTCTACGGTAAACCTAGCATCAACATTTTCGCCAGATATTACTTTACCAGCTTCGGTGCTAAGCCAGAGCTCTAATTCATAGCACCTCCAATAAGAAGTTTCCTTGGAAACTATTACGGCAACTTTTAAACAAATTAAAGCTTTTATAAAAGACCAGTTTATTGACAACCTTAAACATACAAAAATGTACAATTTTTTGTACAGTGCCTTAATTCCATAGATGTTAATTCTTTCTTTATTCAAAACTGAAAACCACAGCTGCAACCAAAACTGTATGACGAATATGTCTTTCTATACTTGTATGTATGTGCAAAGGTCACCCGAAAACGCCTAACAGAAATGAATATTGGTTGGTGATAAGATTACAATCACATAAGCGCCAGACGGAACTATGGACTAGACCATAAATGATGGGAATTAAACAAATCAAATGGCAATCGTGTATTCGGGCAATGATAAGGGAAATGGAAATCAAGTTGATTGTCAGCTTGCGTTGTGAATTGAATGTAACGCGTGTCCATTCAAAATCAAGCATAAATACTACTCATATACAAGTATCAGACAAACCAAAAATAAATATTGTCTAATCAAATTGTTTATCATTTCCTTTTCAAATGAAACTGTCTGAAAATCAATCTGCCACGAATTACAAAAACGAATTGTTCAAAGTAAACAACACGCGAAAATGTTGGCACACGTCATTGTTTTGTGTGGTTGCTAAACAAAAAAAATTATAAAGTATTTTTCTACATGTGTACAGATACATAATAGATATATACTATATAGTATACCCACAACTAATGAAGTGGCTTTTCTTGTACTGACGAAACAAAATGAAAGCAACACAAAAAAGTGGAAAAAACAATTAATTTATTCACTGTCTGCGCCTGTTTAACTTTGTCTTTTTTCTGCATTCGCAATGCCACCGACAGTTTTCAATTTTTTTGTATACCCTATAAATTGAAGAGTAGTTGATACGTACATATATTCAGTTCTGCATCTCGTTTAATGGAACGCCGACTTGTATGTTTTTTTTTTATCTATCGCTATTTTTAGCAACTCAACAGATTTATCGATTTATATTAAAATAGTTTAATAGCTTATATTTAAACTGGCTTCCAGCTTTCAGCTTTAATTCGATGCTCTAAGAATACATTCCCATAACTAAATATTGATTCTTAAGCTGCCCTTCCAAATCATTTCCAATATAATATATTTATCTACCATTTATCTGTATATACTACATGTAATTAATAAAGAACGTTCATCCATATGTATGGATCGTTCTTTAACTCTTAACTCTTGTCACTTAAGAACAACTATTTACATATACGTATTAAGTTTCATATTTCAGCAAATTTTTCTAAGCTGTTGGCTATTGGCCAAATGCAAAAAAAAGTATCTAATATTCGTGAACGCCAGACCATTCCAATTTACTTGATTTCCCTCTGGCTGCCACAAAGATAACTAACTCATACTTATGTCACAAAAATGTACAAACATATACTTCACAATAGCCACTTTCAATTAGCTTCTATGGCCCATTTCAGTACATGGGTTGATTGATTTGATTAACAAAGTCAAATTACTGGGAGTACATTTTACGAATATACATTATGTTTTCGATTTGCACATTTTGCTTTTTGCTTTAAATTGTACTTATGGCGTGAGCACAGCCCTTGAATTGATTAAATATAGTACATAATATCAGCTTCAACTAAACAAATACAAGGAAAGTAATAAATTAGCATACAAGTATAAAAGATCGACAAAAAGCTAAATTTTCTATGAAGAGCCACTGCTGTTATTTCTTAAAATGTAATCAAAATTGAACAAAATACAATTTTATCAATACAATATAATATACAATATACAATTTTAAAGAGAAAACTTATTTATTAAAATTAAAGGAAGTAAGTACTTGAATAAAAGTGAATACAAAATCAAATCTGTCGATTAAAGTTCTCATTTCATATTTAATCTTTTTAAATTGTTCGTTCCTATTGATTAAATCTGTTGTTTATAAAAATATAAATTTATACAGTTTCTAGGCATAATAAAAATCTGCAATACCAATAAAAAGAATAACAAGAAGACATTCTTAAATGCCCTCAAACGACGCCTTTTCCTCGCTACAGCCATTTAACTGAAATTTCCTTTGTTGTAGCAATCATACCTACTATATATACTAGTATATTATATGATAAAGCTCAGAAATTTTGATAAAATTTGAGATAATTACTAATAATAAACAACAAAGGAATGCAACGGACTCGACTCTTAAATACCCTCTACCCACTCCGACAGAAATAAATAAAGGGGATTGCCTCCTAGGCTAGCTATATAAAATTGGGAAGCTATATATGCTTTGCAATAAACTTGCTCGATATGTGAATAAAACTGAATATTCTGATCATATATACTTGTATGTATATAGAATTATGTTCCCAAAACATAAAGACTGCCACGTCTCCGTTTGTAGTTCCATTTGCAGTTTAGACTAGTATACTTTTCATCCGGCAACAAATTGTTATTATTCCGGTAATTTATCTCTATTTTATAGCTATGGATCTAAATTATTTAATTTTGTTGTACAAAAAAAAACTGTTTTAGAGTGTTTCAAAATTAAACATTAATACCATTTTGTTAATAATAAAAAGATGTTTGTCCCAAAGCCCATAATCAATGGCTATGGTTTCCGGTTACGATAAAGCACCGACATTGCGTTTATTTTACTTTTGAAAGGGATATGGTGTGATATAATTACTTCGAGCAAGAACTTAAGAACCTTAACAAGAACGTGTCTGAGGTAGTTAGCTAATTAAACAGCTTTTTTAGCTTACATAACTTTAGTCTTATCATCTCACTTGAGTACATAAACATAATATATTTGTCGTATTCATAATTGAATAGATTTACAAGAAAGGGAAATATAAATAAATGTTTCTAATGAACTAAGTAACGTTAGTTTGAAAGGTTTTAGAAAATGTCATAAATACCTTTCGCGGCATAATACATTGTTGATAGAAATTTATAAACATTGATCGACGCACCCACACATTTAAAGTTTTTGTTTTTCTTTTGGCCTCCAAAGAAAGCCAAAAAATACGTCAATACTTTGTTTAGTTGGCTGTCTATTCCGCTGCCATACAATATTTATACAGCTTTTTGGCACAAAATGCGAAAACAAGAAATGTCGCTTTAAAAATAAAACAACATATTTAAACACATTTAAAAAAATTAATTGTAAAGTATAAGGGAAAAACGTTTCTTATCACTTTTCGCGCACAGCTATTTATAAAACATAAATACTATTAAGTAGTATGTGACGTGTGGTTTGGCAGAGAGACGACGAACTTGGAACACGTCGGGCGCAATCTACATACATATGTATATATGTTTATACAATTCTATACATATATACGCAATGTCTATATCTTTTATGGCGGACGCCATAATATTGGCAATTAAGCGAGCAACATTTTTTATATTTTCTGAGTATGCATTTCTGCTGTGGAATTGTCCAATACTTGTAAAGTTGAATTTTTGGTTAGCTTTCAAGTGTACAAGCAATCGAGATTGTACTTTACTGTAACTAGTTTTGCATTGTTAATTGGAATTGGAATTATGCGCACAATTTATTTTCCTACACACCCATTATAAAAGGTAAATGCACATACTATATAATATATACTTGTACGTGCGAGTAGATGTGCATAAATAGCTAAATGAATTGTTTCGCGAGCTTTATTTATGCAGCAAATTAAAGCTTGACGCTGCTGCTAAAGATACATTTTAATTACAGTCGTAAATATGTCTACGGGCCGACTTGCATTGCAAGTTGAAATTGGCATTGGGCACGCATCGCCAGATTTTTCATGAACGCGTTTTGGCCATAACTGTAAACGGAATGAAACTAGCAGGCCAGTGTAGCGCTACTAATCGCTAAAAACTTGTTATTAAAAGCAATGCAACGAATTTGAGGAGTCAATGACTTGGCTTGAACTCGAAGCAAACGCCCAAATACCATCGAACATAACAGCAACAGCGACAGCGACAACTTGGCTATAAATAGAGACAAATGCAAGCGACGCCAACAAAGTGGGCGCAATCATGTTTGTAGGCACATATTTTTTAATGTACTCGTATATATACACATATGTACATAGGTATGTACATACTATGGTTGTGTGTAGGAATTTCGCGTCGCAGGCTGTTTAACAACTTTGCAGAAAGGTCTCCAAGCCGCTCGAGCAATGAGTGAGCAACAAATTGCTGACTGCAGTTTAAGTGAAAGATGTTAACAATGTGGCTTATAATGTGAGGGGCACAAAGAAAAAGCTGGCAATAAGATGACAAGCGGCTGTTAATGACGACTCGGGCCAAGTGAAAGATAAAGCGAGTGAATGACTGAACAATAGCAGTAGACGCCGTTTAGGCTGCTTCGATCCACAATAAATCACAAAAAAAGAAACTCAAGTGGGACTAAGCAGCTTATACTGCTACTTACATACTTCAATAGAATTAGGCGGGAGATTTAAATAAAATTTTCAAAATAAGCCTATTTAATATGTATGTGACAAGTTTTAGATCTTGATTTCACCTATAAAGTGCAATTAAATTACGATTCATTAACAACAATCAAGAAAAAACTTTACTTCTTGACTAGCGCCAAAAATTAAGCTCTAATACTAATTGATAAAAGTCAGTTTGACGATGAAGGTAGGTCTATAAGGCTATAAGGCTAACAGCCTTCTCTTTTCCGTTTTGTTACTCAAAAATTATAGTCCTAAGACATCAAACAAATAACTTTTCGTAACTATATTTGAAAACAAACCGCATTTTTACTCTTTTGGTCAGTAATGTGAACATTTTCAAGTCACTTCAATAAATTTAAGTTTTTTTTTATTTTTTTGCTTAAAGTTCAACTATCAGGTCTATTTGTATTCTGAGTGCCAGTTTCGCTTAAATTAGCCGGAATGGTATTCGGTTTTGCTCTTTAGATTGCCCAGTTTAATCTTCAGCCTCAGATATATGTATGTAGAATGACCGGGAATATCAATATTCAGAATATATCTTCTATTGAACACCTTGGTTGTAAGGGTTTGCGTAAAGAACAGACCACTCCATTTGTTGAATTTAAAATTTGAACTGATTATATTTCGTCAATTTCTTCTATATATTTTCACTCGTAATCTTATATAGGCAGTGCTTATCTATTGGTTTTCTTTACCTAAATCTAAGTAATGCAAACAACACCATCTGTAGTTTGTAATGTCCATTGAAGGTTTCCACTTATCTCTGGTAATGGAAGGGAGCTACTCGTTATTATCAGCTAGGGATTGCAATCCGATTGTAAATCCAGATTTATATTTGTGTTAAATGTCTTGATGCTTGGTTATATATTTAAAAGAAGAAAACGTAGCTTGGCAAACAAAAATTATAAAGCAAGTATAATCTGTACTATAAATAAGATTATTAAACATCCATAATTAATGACACTTTATTGGACAACATTGTAGTAAATGGTTTCGGACAAACTTTACTTCAACAAATAAAAGCTTCTCTATCCAAATGAACGGCTCATCATATTGTGAGGGGACATGGCACACATGTCAAACTTTTGGATTCACTCGCTTCCAGCACCCAAAATAAAATTTCTGGATCGAGTGAGAACTTTGTTGCGCCTTTGCATGTATGTGTTGTTTTCTGTATTTGGGGCTGTTGCATAATTTATGAATTATTTAGCAGCTTTGTTGAAATGCGACGCACGTACTCTGATTTGACCCACTTAAGTGCTGCATTATTCAATTTTGACTAAATGAGTGGAAATAAAATGAAGTTTTTCAACAGTTGTTGCTTTCCAATTCCATCGTATTATAAGTACCATTAATGACAATCAATCGCTAACAGAAAACTACCAGACAAAGCATTTAAAAATACATCAGATTTTAAATAATAAATTCGATTGGTCACCCATTTGAGAAGTTTTAAAAATAGCCTAAGACAACAATTATGCAGAGGTAAAAAATTTGCCACAAACTAGCAATTGAACAGGTTTGTTCTTTGCAACTACGAGGGGAGTCTTACAACTTGTTGCGAAAATGTGACTAAATTATTAATATGTAAGCAATTTAAGTATTTAAATCTGAGGTAAGCTTTAATATATGCATTTTAAATAATGTGAGAAAGCGATTTATTTAAAAGTCTTGTTTACTTTGGAACCTTAAATAAACTTCCTATATCTAAAATGAAAAATCACTAAAAATCACTATTTATGAATTAAAAAGAAATGTTAAATAATGTAAATAGTTCAGGAAAAATAAATGCGTTAAGTGGAGAGGGGACAATTCCAATGCGCGCTTTTAAACTCCAAGAGCCAATGCCTGCCAAAAATGATTTCGAATGAAACAAGAAGGGTATTCGTCGATGCGCGTGATCGTGCCTGAATTTGTTGGAAAGGCCAATATATTTACAAGTAAATCTAATTTTAACTCCATTTCACAAATTTCTATAAACTTTCGGCCAAGTTTTCCGTGAGTTCTATTGTCCCACCCTCGTTCACTTAATTTTAAATTTGTTTAAGGCACTTGCCATTGTTTATGCACAATAAAAGAAAAACCAGCCAGCTGTGCACGACAAACATTTTCGAAATCGTGAGCGATCGCGCCTCAAGTGTTGGCATGCACTTGAAATTTGTTTACATGCGCTGCCAAATGCCACATTTTTCTTCAGTTCTTCAATTGTAAAACAAAATTAATGTTTGCGCAATCCCATAAACATATTTTTCGATATCCCGCGGATGCTTAAAAATAGCAGATAAATCGAAAATGCAAAACCACTTTCACTTGTATGCTTTAAAGTTTTGCGTGAAAATTTCCATTTGCATACACTTCTTTCGTTTGTGTGGTTTAATAATTACAGTGTTGAACTTTAGTGTTGCTGTTTAAGCCTTAAACTTTAAGGCAAGACAAAGGGGTTTTTTTTTAATTATTGAGCTTTTTGGGAATATACATATATTTTAGTTTAAACTTAACTTTCGAGTATTTTGTTTTACTTTGAAGTGGCAAAGAAACACCCTTTAAAAAATGTTTATTATTAAACAACAGGTGGTGGTTAAATTGTTTTCATTGCTCATTTTGCGGTTGAAATAGAAAGTGCAGTCGGCAACAGAAGCATTGGCGGTATTCGCTTACTGCTGCAAATATTGGCAGAGCTGATAAGACTTATAAAGAAAAGCACCATATCAATAACCAATGTGCCAGGTACCAATTATTCTTAATTTTTTTATGGCAGTCGTAAGTCCCCGCTGCACAGATACGTGCGTCTATTCTACACTGTTGTTGGGCGTCGAACAGCAAACATCAGCAAACAAGGCAGCTGCTCTTTGGCAGACAAGGCTGCTGCGCTGATTTTTCAGGGGTGGTTTTGACTGTTGATAATGGCAACAACACATAACGTTACACCTGGTCTTCCTAATTGGGCTAATGCTGAAATGATTGTGTTTTAACTTACAATGTGCTCGCGTACTGTATTGTGAAACAATTGCAGCTTCAAATCTGTTACTTCCTCCTCCTCTTCGTCCATGTTCGTGAAGAATTTTAATTTATCGCTTTGAGCCAGTTTTGTTTAGTTATTCCCAGTACGCTCCAATTATCGTCTTCAGTATTTAAGAATTAATGCACACACACTCTTCAACCTCTCATGTAATTTGTAACTTTTTGTAATAAAATAATATATAAAATGCCAAACAGTTACAACAATTTCACTTTTCGCTGTGAATAAAATGACGGCGCACCAGATAACACGATAATAAAGAATTTCTATGCGTGCGCTTATTTTGTTGTCGCGGTCACTTTTTTGTTGTTTTATTTCTTTGGAATTACATTTACGCGTCACGGCCTTGCTTAGTATTGCATCGTGATAAAGAATTAAGAGGTCTTTCTCAATTCTTTATGGTTATATATCATTTTTGTACGGCAACTTAAATGTGCGTTGGCGCCGTAATCAAACCGCACAGCGTAAAAAATTTCTATAAACTGAGCTGCTCAGTTAGCGTCGCTGTTAGAGATGTGAGGCGATTTACTCAATCACGATTGTTACTGTGACACAAAATATCGATATCAATTATTTCCTATACCGCAACATCGGTCACTTTGTTTTAATGTTGGACGATCTGGTAGCACTAATCGTTTCTTACCTAACCCTACAGGAACAGCTGTTCATAAAATAAACATACAAAATGTCCCAAATGCGGCGCGAGGTAACTTTTTGTTGCAGTTGTAAATGCAATTAGTAAAACAATAATTTGATTTTTAACAGGTGCTGAGTGCTTTTAAGAAGCTACACCGCACACGGCAATATGTTTTCCAAGGCGATGAACTAGCATTATCGGCGGGGCGACAAAAAATAAACGAATCGTTTTCGCAAAACAAAAACGAAACAAATGAGAAGGAAATCCAAAAGGTGGCGAAGAGAGCTAAACATTAGAATATGCGTGGATACTATTTGACTAAACCTTCTTTCAGATGATCAAATTAGCCCAAGATGTAGACTACGAGCTGCGTACAAATGTAATTCAGGCCCGGAAGCGCGAGGACGACGTTTATGGTAAATAGCAAATAATTACATAAACACTACGTCTATTAATCAATATTATATGTCCTTATAAGAATTGCGCATCACGCCAGAAGTTACACGCTTGGACAATATCGTATTTGATCCCGACGCCATTATTGAACCACCGCGTAGACGACGTGGAGCCAAAGTCCAGGAAGGATGCTGCGGTGGAGCAGCGACGGCCGCTCTGGAGGCTGAAGTCGAGGACCGTAAAAAGTAATACATAGTGGGATATTATAATTAAATAGTCTGTTCGGTTGCTACATTTTATTTCTTGTGTTTCTTTTTGGCCTTGTGTTTGCTTTTCGACTTATTCTTCTTATGTGTGGACTTTTTTCTCTTTTTACGCTTACTCCGCTCGTCAGAGGAACTTTCGTCTGAGCTATCGGTTGACGATGAAGAAGTATCCTCATTACTTTCGCTATCTGATTCCGACTCCGTGGAGGATTCACTGGAGTCCGAACTGCTCTCACCACGCCTTGACTTCTTAGACTTGCTCTTCTTTTTCGGCTCGATTGCAGCACGTTTGCGATCACGCTCAGGACTCCTGTGATATTCTCTGCGATCCCTATAGTTAGTTTCAGCTGGCCGACGCATTTGGGACTGATGTTGCTTTGGCGATGTTCTTTAAATGATAAAGTCATTGTTTTGCGCCCAAATAGAATAAAGTTTAAGGTACATACCTCCGCTGTGGTGCATACTGACGATTTCTTTCTGGTTCTCTTTCTCTGCTCCTACTGCGTCTATTTTCAGGACGCCTGTGGGCTGGCGAGTAACGCCTGTTTTTGTGGGGCGACCTCTCACGCCTTCGTTCGTTACGTTCCCTGGATATAGAACGCCGTGTTTTGCGATCATAATCTTCCCGTTTGTATTGCTCACGATGGCGTTGTTCCCGCGCTTTTCGACGCTCGGCCGAACTCATTCTACTTCTCTGTTCGTTAGGCCCCTCCTTGACCTTCTTTTCTGACCAACCTCTGTTGTAGTCTTTTCGCTTGCCATTGCTCTCTTTTAGATTATTGAAGTCCAATTTACCTTCAGGACCCACAACACCGCGCCCTTTGCCACGCCAAGTGACCCTCGCCACAGACTGCGAGAAATCGACATGTATCCGACGATCGTCAATAAGAACATTGTCCATTTTGAAATAAGCCGCCTCACACGATTTTTGATCCGCAAACTCGACAAAGGCGTACTGCAGGGAATCGCCAGTCTTGCGGTCACGAATTACCTCGCAGCTCTTAACCACGCCAAAGCGACTAAATATAATCTCCAGGTCGTCGTCTGTTGTTACCGGATTGAGTTTGCACACAAACAACACATTCTCTGGCGGTGCCATATCCGCATCCGGCAGGTCTCCCACAATCTCCAGAATCGTAGCACGTGCCTTGGCCTCGCGTTCTGCCAGCATTTCTTGCATCTCTTCCATTGTTTTGCCGTCAGTGTCGTCTATATCCTCGTCTGCGGCGATGCGGCCATTTTGCATGCGCTCTGCACTCGGGGATGGTGACTTATCGGGCGCTTGAAATCCGCGCGGCTTTGGAAATGGGTCCTCCAAAACCACCGTGTGCGTAATGCGTATGTCCTGGTAAGGACGATTATTCTCATCCACTATGGCATCGTTCAGTTTTCGCAGGAGCTCGTGGCCCTCCACAACTTCGCCGATGACGCAGTGCGTCCCATCCAACGACGTAAGGTTTTCTCCCAGCGTGAAGAAGAACTGAGAGCCCACCAGATTCTTGCCGGCACTGACCAGAGACAGCATGCCGGCATTGGAGTGAGAAATCTTGGGCAGGTATTCAGCTTCAAAGAAGCGTTTATGCTGGCCTTCAATTACGCCCCAGACAGAGGAGCCGCCATCGCCAGCGCCTGTGGGATCTCCTGTTTGTGCAATAAATCCTTGTTGAATTGTGTGGAAGAGATTGAAGTTGTAGTATTTTAGCTGGCACAGCTTCATGAAGTTCATGCAGGCAATTGGACGCTCATCAATGAACAAGTCCACAGTGAGATCACCCAATGTGGTTTCAATAACCACCGACATCGCGCACTATCATCAAAATCGCACACTAACGCCAAAAAATAAACGCAAACACACCCGGAACACAAACCAGCCTGTCAACCGCACTGAAAACGTTTCATCAAAGGTTGCACTGCATTGCCAATCGAATAGTTTGCTTATCGGGCGGTATATTGTCAGTCGATAGCTGAGAAAAAGACGTCGGGTCGCCATCTTGACTTGTGAAAATTTTCATTAGGAAAAAATTGATTTGTGCAGCACGTTGTCTGGAAGCTGGATAAGTAAAGTAATTTTAATTCTTGCGATATTTCAGTGTATCAAGTAATTAGCATAGACCCCAATATAAAGTAAAAGTTAAAATGGCCGAAACTGGCAAAAAAATTAACGAGTTGCGCGTATGCGACCTAAAAGATGAGTTGGAAAAACGCAAGCTGGAGACCGTAGGTCCAAAGGTAGTGTTAATTGAACGCCTGGAGAAGGTAAGGATGAACTACGTTTGCATTGATTATATGTTTATGCAATCGTGGAATTCTATCTATTTTCTAGGCACTAAAGGAAGAGGGCTTCGATCCGAGCACCCATTTGATTGTGCCGGCTTCAAAGGGTGTCAATACAAAGAAAAATGTGGCACAAGAGGCTGGAGACATATCAGATGTGAAGATCAAGGAAGAACCTGTCGATCCCGAGCAAGATGGAGATTACCAGAGCTTTGGTAATGGTGATGAGAATGGCAGCCATGTTCATTCTGATGGCGATCATGAAATAGATCAAGTGGGAGATGTGGACGATGTTTGTGTTATTCTTGATGATGACGATGAAGAGCAGGAGGAGAACGATCATAATGAAGGGGACGATCAGGTTGAAGGCGAGGGTGGCGAAGATGATGGTGGTGAAGCCGAAGAAAATGGTGAAGACGATGGAGCCGGTGATTGTGAGGGCGCCGAGGTGCAGGAGGAAAATACCGGCGACACTGTAAATATAGACAATGACGAGTCTATCAATTTAACAATTGGTGAAGACGAGCAAAAACTTTTACACGATGAGGTAAGTTCATCTATTATTTATATAATTATACCTTGTACCCAAAGAATAAAAGGGCGTACAAGTTTAGTGCGAGTGTTTGTAACCCACTGAGAAAGCCGTGTTGGACCATAAATTAAATATATTCCTGATTAGGATCACGATACGTCTGCATGAACAAAGGATCCCAGGAAGTACAGGAGCAAGAATAACCAAACATGATATTTCGGTTCTCCTAAGTCTTAGTCAGATTTAGTTTATGTTGTTTTTCTTCTGGTTTTCCACAACTCCCAAAGTTCTTCGGTTTTATTTACTGATATTTTACAACTAATACGGTTAGGGCGAATCTACCTTCGTGTTTCATTATGATAGTTCAATTGTAAAGAAATGTATAGCCACAAATGTTATCTCTACCAAGCTCTGCTTGCGGCTGTGTTGTTGTTGCTGTAATTCGCACAGGACACAATCCTGATATAAATGTATTGAAACTATATACTACTTAGAAGCATATGAGGAAAGGGTACAGGGTATTTAAGAGTTGAGCCTGCTCGACTCAAATGTTCAATTCGCATTAATTTATTTTAAAAAAATCCATGAATGCAAATGTTTATTCTTTGTTTGTTTTTTAGGCACCAGACGACAAAGAAAAGTCGGGTAAGTTATATTTGTTTGTCACATGACTACGATTTCATTCACCAACCCCTTCAAAACCAAATGCCCTATATGGTTGCTAAGTAAATATCGATTTAAGTGAACTCTCACCCCGCGGGGAATTGGTTTTATTATTTTGCTCTGTTTTGAGCAATAAGTTGAGAAAGTAAAATGCGATCAGTGTTTCTGCTAAATCTAATTTAACAATTTCCCTTGCAACGAATGTGACAACAAATTGCAGTTAAACCGGAAAAGGGACAAAAATCAAGCGGCAAGGATGCTGATAAAAAGAACCAGAAGGATGACGATGGCGCTCGTTTAAAGAAGAAGGATGACAAATCGAGCGATAAGAAGGATGCTAGGTTGGTTGGCTTCCGACAATTACGACTAGGCGGTGGCAATGTGAATAAGCAGCAGCGTTGAATTTATTTAAAAGTGGGCGCTTTATAAACTCTACGACAGGACGCTTGAAAAATCTTGCGCCCACTTTCACTTGAGATCTCTGCTATGGCTTGTCATATGTCGCCGCCTTAAACAAATCTAAATGCAACGCTGATGACGTTACTAATGCGATTTTCTCACTCTATTTTTAACCGACATACTACAATTTGCTGAAACCGTCTCAACATGTCCCATACTTCTGAAAAGCAGCGACCAAAAATCAGTTTCGAAATCGTCGACCCAAAAGGATGATAAAGGTAATTTAAGCTGTTTTTTCAGCTGCAGGGCGAATTCGAGTGCTTGTAAAGTTTTTACATTATGAGATGCATAGGCAAAAAGCATGAGCCGATTTTTATGTTAGCCAAAATACATTAAGAGACATGTGAGATGCCGTAAGAGAGTGTGAATTTGATTGGAGAAGAATCTGGACTGGAACGTAGTCATCGGGCGATGACTACTTGGCACTCGTTCTGCCACCTAATGGTGATTTGACGACTGATGTAGCTCTGACTGGATGAAGTTATGACTGATGAATCGGCGAATGATGACGACTGATGTTGCGTCGATTGATAGCAGGACGACAAAGGCGACGCTGGTGATGGAGCAATAAATAATTTCGCCACGATTGATGCCAGAAGGAATGACGGCGGTAGCTGAAGCAACAGAGTTGTTTTTAAAGGATGCTGGCTCCAAATGGGGACTCTGACAGACGACTGAGCTGCAACCTGACAACCAAAACATCTGTCGTCGAATTTTCGAAGCTGGGCTCCAATTATCTGCTTACAGATCAAAAACAACCTGGCACCATAGCGCACTTCAATACTTCACATCGTCTCCATACGTCTCTGGGATAATTAATTTGCATAAGAACGACTTTGTAAAAGGTCTACATTGTTGATGAAGGCATATGAAATCTTATGAAAGCCATTGCACGGGAAGATGCGGAATCTGCCAGCATCAGCAGCCAACTGTGGTATGATTTACCTGGCCTCCTACACAACTCAAAATCAGGTGTCACCTAGAATGCGGATATCTGGGCTTCTCCACAGGCTTATCGCTTGCAGTATTACTAAACGATGCTGTGAAGATGTCCCGACAAAGCTCCCCTTGCAATCCTTGATTTTTTGATATCAAGAAGCAGTCTACTTCCATTCGATGCATCTGAGTACCAGTGGAATAGCAACAGCATGTTCTGCGCCGACAGGAAGAAGCCAATCAAATTCACACTCTCTTTGCTATATTAGTGCGTTAATCTGTTCCGTTTGAATGATATCTAAACAGCAACAACAAAGTGTTTAAAATGCTAAGTGCTTCCTTTAAAACCAGAAAAAATCGTAAACAAAATCAAAACCGTTAACCAGTTAAAGCCTCTCAAAGCTGACCATAACTCTCTTCCAATATTGTTATTATTTACATGGAACTTGCAGAGAAAACATCGACTTCTTCGGCGAATGCGGCCTCAACGAGTACCGCCAACAACAACAACAGCAGCAGCAACAACAACAACAAATCAGGCACTTCCTCAGCAGTCGGCAGTGGCGGCAAGCAAGCGGCACTGTCTCGCAATCTCTGGGTATCCGGTTTGTCCACGCTGACGCGTGCCAGTGATCTGAAGGCCATCTTCTCCAAGTTTGGCAAAGTGATTGGCGCCAAGGTGGTAACCAATACGCGAACACCAGGAACGCGCTGTTACGGCTATGTAACAATGTCCTCATCTGCGGATGCCTCGCGCTGCATTGAGAATATGCATCGTACAGAGCTGCATGGACGCATCATTTCGGTGGAGCGCACCAAGAATGAAATTGGAGGCAACAACACCACCACTGCCTCCAAGGATGCTTCAGGCAACAACAAGCAAAGCGATGCCAAAAAGAAGGATGACGATAAGAAGACCGGCAACAACACCAAGGCTGGCGGCGGCGATGACAAGCGCGAGAAGGGTGAGGGTGGCAGCAAAGAAGGTGATGGCAAGCGCGATACGAAGAGCAAGGATCGCAACAGCAAGGCGTCATCAATACGCGATGGCAAGGACAACAAAGGTGGTGGCGACAAACGCCACGAACGTGACTTCAAATCTGGTCCGCCCCGTAAGGGAAATCAACGCGACAATGACCGTGCCCGTCCGCCACGCGACTTTGATCGAGAACGGGAGCAGCGCCAGCGCGAGCGTGAGCGACGTCAGCGGGAGATGCTGAGCTATCAGAAGATTCGCGAGGAACGCGAGCGGCAGCGCTTGCGTGAACGCGAGCGTGAGTTGCGCGAGGAGGAGCGTCGTCGCCGTGAGACACGCGAACGTCAGCGCCTAGAAGAGGAGCGTCTGGCCGAAGAGCGTCGCAAGCTGGCCATTGAGCGGGAGCGGCTGGAGCGCGAGAAAGCCGAACTGCTGCGTCTGGAGCGGGAGCGTCAGAAACTGGAGCGCGAGAAAATCGAATTGGAGCGCCTCGAGTTGAAGCGTCAACAGTTGAAGTATGCTAAAAAAAGAAAATTGTAATGCGTCACACGTAACGCAATGAACAACACAATATATATCTCTACATATATATTATATAGTATTTATTTTTAATACATTTGTTCATGTACAAAATTAGTACTTTAAGTTTACGCCGTCGTCGTTGTCGTTGTCGTCTCCATGCGAGCGCGCGTCTACGCAACGTTGTCTCTTCAACTGCCAACATTTGAACAAAACAAAAAAAAAAGAACAACATTTTATATAATCCCCCACTATTTCAAGTGCAAGTCCTGCTCTTGCTCACGGAACTTTTTTTTTTCCTCCAAATGCAATTGCATCCCATAGTTTCTGAGTCCACCACAACTGTGTGTCCACAACATCCTCTTAACTGCCTATGAAATATTCTAATAAGTTGCCTTATTTTCTCCCCTCTTTCTCTTTTCCAAATTGCTAAAGGATTATGGAGTCTCGCGAGGATCCTGTCAAGCGTGCTGTGAATAAGCGCACCGATGATCGCTTTTCGGACACAACAACTGAACGCAAACGCTCTGCGGTATTTGATGCTCCTCCGCCACCACGTTTTGATTCCTCACTGGTCAGTTCACGCAGGTGAGTTACATAGGTGTTATTAGTATTTCCTTGGTAACAGCAATAGCTGATTCATTGAACTTTCTTTTATCCGTCACAGCACATACGACAAGAAACGTGATGACTTTGGCTCTTCGTCGGCTTCGAAGCGCGGTCTCGACGATTTCAGCAGCTCCAATAAACGCATTGACTATTCCAACAAGCGCGATGATTATGGCACTTCGACTGCATCCAAGCGTAGCGCTATAGACGATTATCCAGCAGTGCCCAGCAAGCGTTCCGGCGCCAATGACTACATATCATCGAGTTCAAAGCGCAACATTGAGGATTATTCCACATCTTCAGGCAAGCGCGATGAATACAAGCGCGAGGTGGAGGTGCGTCATCTCAATGTATCTGCAGTGGTCGGTGGCACCACCAGCAGCTCCTACGGGCACAAGAACAACGCTGGTGGCGGTAGTGGTCGCTACAATGATGCTACCGATCGTAGCAATTCATCCAACTACAGACGTGGAGCAGTGGACGACGGGCATTCCTTGTCTCAGTAAGTGCAGAGTAGAGCCAAATATATTTTTTCCAATACTATTTTGAATTTTCGTGTCCATATTTTAGCAGCGGCAACAAGCGATACGACAACTCTGGCAGTGGCACCGGCGGTGCTGGTGGCTATGGCGCAAATTCAAATAACCTTAACATTTGGGCACCTTCATCTGGAGGCAGTGGCGGAGGACATTTGGGTCATTCGGGCAGCGGCAATCCTATGAAATCATATGGCAACAATGGACTCTCCTCAAATCTGCACAGCAATAACTCGTGGAACAAGTCAGCACCAGTCGATGACAACAGCTGGCGTCCAGTGCAAACCCAGGATCGCTACGATCGCTCCTACAACGATCGCTCCAGTGGCTATCAAGGCGGCAACAGCAGCAGTGGCGGCATGTATGGCGGCGGTGGGCGACAGGGGCAGGACCGCTATGGCGGCCAAATGTCCCGCTATTAGGCACACACTAAGCAATTCACACAACCAACCCGCCCCACACGGTTATAATTCCCACATGAGCGCAGGTATGAGCGCCTTTATGCTATATCTTTAGTTTTTATGTTAGGACTGTAATTAAGACTAGCACGTGTAATTGCTCTATGACATAACATACATACATTTTAATTCATTAAATGTATTAAATAAAAAAATAAGAAATTTCAATTCACCATCTCCTCAAATGATGATACAAGTGGTGTCGTGGTGTCCACTAAGATTAACAAACTGTGCGCCAAAGGGTAGACATGGTGGACACGTACGTAGTATCCTCGCTCGCGCTGCGCTTTAGAAGAGTATAGCCTGCAAATATGAATCTGTCAGATAGTTAAAGGTTGACATTTACTTGAATTCCACTCACGCTAATATGTCCACGGGCTCAAGGAGTAGCTCTGACTTGTAGACTGAAGCTAGAAAATCTGTAAAGGCCGCCGTGTTGTTGTCTAATTCGAAATCTGCTTGAGCGCCATGTTGCTGTGTGTGGGAGTAGAAATTATTTGGAAAAGTGCATAAAAATACCTATTTTCAATTTAAAGGGTACATTTGAATCCTATAAGATAGTAAATGTAGGGCTACTTTATCTTTTTGTGGCTGCCTGTCACTGTTGGTCTAGTTGGAACAAAGTTATAAAAACTTCTCTCAGGAAATTCGACCCTCAAATGAGTTAAATTACGCTCAAATGCAATAGGAAAACAGTGTACAAATAATTTGGTGCTTGTAATTAGGGGATTAGTGTGTTAATGGGTTCCTTAAAAATTTCTGAGACCTATAGAAATGAGCTAGATAATCAAAAAAAAATTACTTTATCATCATCTTATTATTCCTAGCAATGCCAGCTTCAAGATAACTGAAAGACAACCCTTCAATCACGCCCAAGCGCTTAGATCAATCATTTAGAAGCATATAAGGCTTACTTAAACATACCATATTCAGACCACTATTGCTGGAACCGATATCGGGTAGAGGCATACCATTTCGCGTGCCCCAAAGCGTAATGATGTTGTCCTCTGATGCCACTATGGTGCACTGATCGCTGCAATTGGCTTTCTGTGGATGATCAAACACCTTAACAATCAAAAACTTCCGTGAGGATTAGGTTCTATAATTGTTTACCACAATATAACGCGCACGAATGGCCTCCACAAGTGTTGGCTGCTCCACGAGATTGCAGTGGCGTAGACCGCGCTGACCCTCCGTGTTACGACCCATGGTATAAACATAGCCGCCCTCGACCAGAAATACCGAGTGGGTGGAGGAGAAGCAAGCCTCCAGAACCTTGTGTGGTAGCTGAATACGCTTCTACGTTGAATGTATAAGACAAAAGGGGAACAGAATAGGGAAAGGTCGTTAGACGTGGTTTAAAGTCACTTACAAAGGCCGTGATTTTGCCGGGTCTGTTAAAGCCCAGCTTATTATAGTCGTTACTGCCACAGGCGTGGATCTCCCCATTGGTAAATAGTACGGCGGAGGTGTCTGGTCCGCAGAATATTTGCGCAGGCTTGCTCTTTACATGGGCCAGCAAGATTTTTTGGGGCATTTTTCTGGTAGTTAGGAACAAGCATTACTCCGTCAACTCTTCGGGTATACAGGATAGTGAGAATTTCACTTACTGCTGCGTCTGGTAGTTGCCCAGGCCCAGGGCTCCCTTGTAGCTGCTGCCCCAAACGTAGACAGCGCCAGTTCCTTCGCGACTTAGCGCCAGAACATGGTTTAGGCCTGCAGCAATCTGGTCAATGCGCACATCTGTCAGCTTATCTATTACCTTTGGACTATAGTAGTTCTTCTGCTCCTCCTGACCGAGAGCGTACTTGGTATTGCTGCCGCAGCTCAGTAAGCTGCCCGACTGTGTTAGCAGCACAGTGAATCCATCGCCGGCACAGGCGTTGATTATGTGATAATTGCGCACGCTTTCCATGCGACTCGGATAATGCTTCCACGCCTCCAGGGAGGTCAGTCCAAGCTGGCCATGTGTGCCCTCACCCCAAGCATACGTGGAGCCATCCTCGTTCACAACCACAAAATGGGAATCGCTCATGGCCACGCATATGATCACCGCCTTCGGGGGAAGCTGTATGGGACTCATGCTAAAGCTGCTCCCAAACGATTTCAGCTGATAGAGAACAGAGCTGTGAAAAAGTTGAAGAGCACGCAAGAGTGTGAGTTAATATCTTTATATTATAAATGTTATTATAAATGTTAAGAAACGTAAAGAAAGAAATGGTTTTTAAGATGAACTTGGATAGAGTTCGAGTTATTTTAGTTCTACTAAATATACCTCTGTTTCCTAATTCAAGGGTTTTAGGTCTCTCAAGCATTCGAGAAATCATTAAATCTTTTATACCGGATACAAGGCTGCATGCCTAAAGTATCTCTATGGGATGCCCCATATCGAATTACTTATAAGAATACACTATAGTGAGCAAGCCCAACCCTGTACCCAAGCAAAATTCCGGCGCTTAGCAGAAGCAAAAAGAACAAGAAGAAGAGCGAACTTGATGCTGTTTCGCTAATAACTTTTCTTAGAATCAACCGATTTACTTACAATTATAAATTGCCTTTGGAAAGTTTAGCTAACGTTGCTTTGGAATTGTGGACAGTATTGACGCATTTTTTTATTGGGGAAGGGGCTACGTAGTAGAGCCAATATATTAAGTTTGGTTAATGTGGGCTCAGCCGTTTCCCAAATCCAGGCGTTCATACAGACAAACAGACGGACATGACTAAATGTGTGTTACATACATTCACACAAAACTGGTATACCCTTATACAGGGTATAAAAATACAGTTTATCTTAGTGTTTATAATGGCTATGAACTAAAGGTAAGTATTTCTTCTTCATTTCATAATATTGTCTAAGAATTTGTAAGAACACTAGGAATTGTATGGCATGTATTATTTCTCTGGCAACTTACCGCTTCTCAATAACTTCGTGCGGGGCACAAGTCTCGGCATTCATAAGCTGCTTGGTCTCGGTCTTAGCGGTGGGTAATTCTATGGTCAGATTGCTGCGACTTGCTACAGAAACCTGAGCCGACAGATGTGTACCATTTATATGGGCATCGTTCTCGTAGGAGTAGCTGGGAATCAGATATTTTATGAGTCCGTCAAGCTGATTTGCTACAGAACACACCCTTTGTTTTTTCCCAAATTGCGAAATATCAATGGTATCCAATATTCCAAAATTTCGGCAGCGGTTGGGCGACGCGTAGCCTCTACTTGCAACAGATTGGCCAGAAGACTGCGCAAGCCCGATGTATAGCCTGATGGCACAGCTGTATATTGGCCGGCCATGATTTTGGTGACTAATTCCGACAGATTGGAGGCGGCAAAGGTCTTTTTCAGGCAACACATCTCGCCCAAAATGCAGCCCAGAGCCCAAATGTCGCTCTTGTTGTCATACTCCTTGCCCTCGCACTGTCGATGGGATTGTGAAATGAAGGCCAGAATCCAGGTGGTTACTTACCATTTCTGGGCTAAAATAGTAGGGCGTGCCTAGTACGGTTTGTGCGTGAATCTTGGTATTCATTATCTTTGAGATGCCGAAATCGCCAATTTTGACGATGCCGCGCTTGTTTAGAAAAACATTTGCCGTCTTCAGATCCCTTTAAATAGATGCAGAGATGACCCGAATAAGTTATTTTTTCTTTCTTAAGATTCGCCCTAGATAATTAGGATAATTCCAATTACCTATGCAAAATGTTCTCGGAGTGCATGTAATTAATGGCGCTGGAGATTTGCTCGAACACAGCTATGATGTAGCGTTCGGGAAAGTGCGTTCGACCCTGGCGCTCGGCAATAATGTGTGCCAGAGTTCCACCGTCCGCATACTCCATCTCGATGAGCAGCGTATTGTCCTTGATGAAGCTGCCCAGATAGCTAACGATGTTGGGATGATGTAACTTTGAGAAAACATCCACTTCGTTCATCGCCAAGTCCCGACCGGGCGGGGTTAGGTCATTCAAAAGGATTTGCTTGAAGACAATGTGATGGCCATCGGATTTGCGGCGATAGAGAATGGCAATGCCGAAGGATCCCTGACCCACCACCTTCACCTTGTCGTAGTTGGTGAGCTCTGTGCCGGCAATATTAAGCGTCTTCTCATTAACCAGACTTGCATGTTTCGGCACCGCCAGCTGTTGCAAGGCCAGCTGCTCCTGCTGTGGTGTAGCCTGGGCCAGAGACATGGCAGGAGCAGGGCCAATGCCTGCGACGCTACCGTCCGTTATGGTAAAAATTGTGGGCTTGCGACTTGTTGTCGGGGGCTTCCTTTGTGCAGTTCCAGGCACCAGGACCGGCATGGGCAGCGATGTGCTCGTCAATCCGTTGGTATCTGGTGTACGTCCATTAAAAATTGGCAAGGAACTGGCTTTGGCTCGGAATTTGTTCATGTCCGCACGCTTTTAGCTTTTAGTCGCCCCATTAATCATTGATTCATGTGAAATCGAATGGTGCACGTAATTAGGTCGCGGTTACTCAATAGATGTCCTTAGTTGTGGTCATCGGGGTTGCTAGGCAGCCGCACTGACCCTTATCACAACGTCTCAATCTCTAATAGCTACTAACTAACTGCTAACCAATTTTAAATGAGTTGATTGACAGTGATTGAAGTACTATGATCGTAATCATTTTCAAGTGCACATTAGCATTAAATATTTGTCGCTTATTTAAAGACCATTATAAATATCTACCATAAGGGGGTTGAGTAAAAAACAATACATACCTAGTATTTTAATATCTCTAGGAAATCACAAATGTTACAGCAAATAGAGATTGATGTCTGCTCACGAAGATGGAAAATGGAAACAAGCATTACAAGTAATCTCATATTCTGAGACTGGGGCCGAAACCTATCTCTTGATTGTCGAATACCTCGTTATAAGATTATTTTCAAGCTATTATATATCGAGCTCAGATCTGGGATCGAGATCAATTGTAGATTGATCAATTCTATTTTAATTGCTTTTGAGATTATTGAAGATGCACACGAAAAAAAAAGACATTGATAGTTCCATCTATAAAGCAAAGTACGGGCACATCTTTTCATGATATAGATTCCCACTTCGAGCTCTATAGCATTACCCGTTTCAGAGCATCGCCAACGCACACATAAAGCTTGGACTCATCGTATAACTACCTGAAATCCGTACTCACTTTTTTTACGTCACATGTTACATTTGGAATTGAAAAACATTCTTCTTCATATTTATAGCTATGTATTTTTTTCGGAATTAAGTTTAAAAATAATTTTTATATCGTTACATTCATATATCATTGTTCGTTCTAGTTTAAAGAACCTTGTTTCAGCATATAAATCATCGGCATAATTATCTAAAAATGTTATTAATTATGTATAATTGACCATAAAATTAATATGCATTCGTATTTAATAAATAAAAACAATATTTACACAACTTTTTTTTATAACTTCCTGCTATTCATTGTTGTATGTGAAGCGCTGATAAGTTTTTATAAATCTGTTGTTAAAAATAAAGCTGGTTGTTGGTGTAATTGTCTTGGAAGTTGGAACAGCGTAGTCTCTAATTTAGTTTAACTAAAGGAACTTTAAACTGAATAGAAGAAGTACATAAACGGTATTCAGAGACTTTTGGTTCCCTTAACAGTAACAAAGGTTTAAAAATTTAGTTCATGAGTAAATCGTATTTCGTTGGGGTTTGTCGTTCTATTTTCTATAGAAACTAATAATGTTGGCTAAATTTGTTGACCAATTTTTGAATGAATTCGTTTTAAACAACCTCTAAATCTAAAGATATGGTCAGACATGGAGATAATTTGCACACAAATCTCTGTACATTTCCAAGTAGGCTCTGAAGAGTGAGCTCTGAAGAAGCTTGTTAAATCAAAAAACTCAATTTAGGATAGAATGCTAATTGATCAAATATATGTAAAATGTGACAAGTTTGTGAGCAAATTATTTGCCTGTCTGACCAATAGCTTAAGCAAATAAGAGTAAATATGTTAGTCTCTGCTTTGAAAATATTGTTCAGTGGTTCCGCATAAAATTTCATTCTTTTGTTTTTTCGATCATTTACATCATATACAATTTGAACGCCCATTTTGTGGATAAACTAAGCACTACTGTGAAGAAATATGTATATAGTTTTTTTCATTTAATTGTCCACAACAACCAATTGGTCATTTCCTTCATTTCTGGTTCCACACAATGTGACGCTGCACTAAAAACCGTAAAAGCCCTGTATATGTATATATAATTGTTTATATAAAGCATTCTGTTTGTGCCTAATTTGTTGAATTTATGTTAAATTTATTCTACGCGTAGTTAAGCTCAGCAATTTATTAAAATATTTTACAAATCGTTCAAACTAGAAGTAATGCTTCCTTATCTGCATTTCACGGAATTTCAACTTTTTGCACCTGTGGGTTTGTCTATCTACAAAAAGCGATCGCTTTCGGGGTTTTTTTTGGGGATCAGACGTGGTCTATTAACTTGGCTGTTCAAGGATTTCACATTCAGAGTTGCAAAGAAATATGTTTGTATTTAAGTATGTGTTCGCTTTAGTTGTTCCACTTTTTTGAAACTTCAGACCATGATTATATGTATGACTTAAGTATAGAAATAGAGATACATTAAACGGCATGTACGAGCGGCTCAAATATAGTATTAGTATTATATGTACGTTCCTTGGACTACCTTAAAAATGCATAATCTGTACGTTTGACATATACATACGCACTTAATAATAGATATATATATATAGTAGGTATGACCGGATCTTTGCATTTCGAATCATTATCGATAATATAATATCATTGAAATTGTACGCACAAACTTGGCTACGACAACGTCGCTAGTTCTCTAAAAAATGCGCTACGTTATCAATAATTTTGGACAACTTTTTCAGGTTACCATATCAATGGCCGTGGCTATGTTGAAGACAAAGACGATTTAGCAGGAACATCGGTTCTCGCCAGAAAGACTGCCCAAGCTGAATGTGCCCAGACCATTAGAGCCTGGCGACTTCTTATCCTGTTTCTCATCATTTTCGAAGTTATCCCCCTGAAAAATGTACCAATAGTTTCACTATCGTGAGTGTTACAAATTATAGATGAAAATATTACTTACACGACGCTCACGCTGCTCACGTATTTTACGAGCTAATGATAAGAATGCATCTTCGATATTGATGTTGGACTTGCACGAGACCTCGAAGAAGGGCATGTCGAAGTTTTCAGCAATCTATAATATAATTTTAGATGATTATTTAAATGATGTTATATGTTTTCGAATGAGGTCTAAGCTGTTGCTAACACTAAAGGAAAAGAAGTGCGCTTTCTGTATTTTATTAAAACCCCTTTCGTTTGGGCGGAAAATATTGTTTCAGAAAGAAAGCATCTCTTTATTTTCCTGATAAACGACGCTTTAGATAAAATAGAGAAATCTCGGTGACTTAATTGGAGTCTTGAAAAAAATAATGTTAAAAAAGAATGTATGAAGAAGCGTGGAAGTCCTAAGAGCTTGAAACCAATAATAAAACTCCCACGAATAATATACAACAGAACGAATTCGGTCTAGATTTGGAAGGTCTTTACGCAACCCTACCCCAATTTCTATAAGAGTTTTAGGGCTAGAATGTTAAAAATGTATGTTTGTTTAATGTTCTGAAAGAACAAATCAAATTCATTACCATACGTTCAAGCTTGGATGATGAATACTACTAAAATAAGTAGGGTATGCTGGTTACAAGTAAAATGAACGAGCTATAAAGAGATGTAAGGATTATCTAATGATAGATGAGCCGACAAGAAGTAAAGGAAGCTCATTAAATGTTAATTTATATGCCAGCAGACTAAAGAGCTTTAACTGCTAACCGTGAAGAGTTGAAATAAATTTAAAATTCTTCTGGGTGGTTTCCAAATAATAGTGCTGGTGAGTCTTTTATTGATGCGTTATTCTATTGAGTGCAAAATCAACTTTTTATAAGTTATTGCTGGTTAGCCCTTAGATATTTGTACAAATATGATATTTTCCATAACAGAACAATCGAGGAAGGAAGTGGAAGTTGTGAATGAAGATTGAAAAGTTGTTGAATGATGAAACAGTCTCTTGATGGTAAAAGCAGCTTCGTAGCCCTTAGATATTTTTACAAATATGATACTAAAACCCTTTCCATAACAGAACAATCCAGGAAGGAAGTAGAAGTTTTTGAATGAAGATTGAAAAGTTGTTAAACGATGAAACAGTCTCTTGATGGTAAAAGCAGCTTCGTAGCCCTTAGATATTTTTACAAATATGATACTAAAACCCTTTCCATAACAGAACAATCCAGGAAGGAAGTAGAAGTTTTTGAATGAAGATTGAAAAGTTGTTAAACGATGAAACAGTCTCTTGATGGTAAAAGCAGCTTCGTAGCCCTTAGATATTTTTTCAAATATGATACTAAAACCCTTTCCATAACAGAACAATCCAGGAAGGAAGTAGAAGTTGTGAATGAAGATTGAAAAGTTGTTAAATGATGAAACAGTCTCTGGATGGTAAAAGGGACTTCCATTAATATGAATCTACTATCATTCCTTATTTTCATTGAAATTATTTCAACTTTCAGGCATCTCTCCATTTAGTCTCTCAGCACAAAAGGAACAAAATGAAGCACGGCATTAGCATTGTATCCTTTTTATACTGAAGTGTTCTACAGCAGAAACACTCAAAGAGGGTTAAAAAAGTGTAGTAGAGTTACTTTTTGGCAGCCACACTGAGTTCATGAATGTGGGACACTCTACTACTCGTATAGTGAGTATTATATATAGGCTATAGGCATATGTATGTTACCTTTTCTCCTCTCTCCTTGTCCACCATGCGCTGGGTCGCCGAACATTCGCATTTGTTGCCCGCCAACACTTTGACCACATCCGGCGAGGCATTCTCCTGTATGTTGCGCAACCAATAAGACAAATTGTTATAGCTCTCCAAGTTGGTCACATCGTACATGAGGAGTATGCCCATGGCGCCCCGATAGTAGGCTGTGGTCAGTGTGCGAAAACGTTCCTGGCCAGCGGTATCCCAGATTTGCAGTTTTATGGGCACCCCATCCAGATTAATTAACTTCTGCTTGAAGTCTATGCCTGTGTGAGTAGGGGAAGGAGGTAATGGGTATACAAATAGCGTAATTGATGCTAAAAGTTTAATGAGATCCGGGCAGAGACTGAGACACACACTTACCGATGGTCGAGATATATGTGTCGTAGTACTTCTCATCGCAGTATCTGTGAACAATGCAGGTTTTGCCCACATTCGAGTCACCCAGCACCAGAACCTTGTAGGTGGCCACAAAATCCAAAGCCATATTGCGATTGCGAATGAAAATCTACTGCGATGTGAGCAGGTTTTAGGTTTTTGTGTCTTCTCAGCTCAGTCGCTGCCCCTCTTCTTGTTGTTATTGCTGTTGATTGGTGGTGGTTGATTCTACATATGCATATATACATATGTATGTATGTACGTTTATATGGCCGTGGGGGTTGTATTACATATGTATGTATGTTTATGCGCTGCAACTGTTATTATTGTTGTTGGTATCAGAAGACGCAGCTGTTTTGCCTTTCGTTGTTTTTGTTGTTAGTGGAGGCTGCTTTCCACAAATACATGCGAGTATGTATAGTTTTTATTTTCAGCTCTCATATAAATAAAAAGTAGAATGCTAATTGTATTTCGCCAACAAAACAAACAACGCAATTAGAGAGCGCTTGCAACGTTTTGTCTTATGAATGGTCGTTAGAAGGAAATGCAGCTTTGCTTGGCCTATTTATATGATTTTCACTTTATTTATTTTAGGTGCGTATTATAAGGTATACTTTTAACTTAGGTAGTCAAAAAAAGGCGTTCGCGTTGCAAACATAGCACGGTAACAACATTCAATCAACAACGCACTTCTGCTTTGGCGGCTCTGCTCTGAAAAATCAATATAACTGCGACGGCGCAGCTTCAGCATTCGTGGTCTCGAGCGAGTGGTAGGCGGTTAAATGAAAACGCTGTCCACTCGTTCAAATATCTTAAATTATCAGCGATTTCTGCTTGCAACGCGAACGCTTCTTAGCTTAATATCGTAGATAAGATATACGTACATATATGGATATATAGAATAGATATGGAGTTATTCAAAATAGAGTCAATCTTACTTAAGTCTAGGCAGGATGGGTTTCGGCTGTGAGCTGTGTTGTGATGAAAAGGTGCTTCTCGCATAAGTCTTGAGGGATAAATGGAGTTTGCTCACAGATACGTTTTCTTTATCAGATAATTATTTTTACATGACGAAGACCTTCTCGATTTTGGGATTCGTAAATTTTGTATTGGTTATCGGACACGTAACAGTGCCATCCTCTTTGGTGATCTCAGTTAGTGCCAACTGTCCGAAAATCTGTCCATTTGGTAACATCATGGGCTGGTTGTGCTCGTTAAGAGGCAGACCAGTGACCCGACAGATTAGACGGCTCTGCACGCAATGGGAATATGGCAACTTGAGCGCTATGCGATTGAGGTCCTCCTGGCAAACGGGGCAATTGAGATTACGACAGGTTTGCGTGTAGCACTGCGGTGTCTTCAGCGCCGACAGGCCAGCCTGCATGGCCGCCGAGAAGACAGATGTGGTCGACAATTGGAATAAACGATAGTTCTCGTGACGGAAGTCCAGTACCAGCTGTTGCCAGCGCTTCGGATCCAAATACTTTTTGCAATGCTCCAGCTCCGTGTCGGTGGGATAGGCCAATAGAGCCATAACATGGCATATTTCATTCAATTGCGTCTTCTCATAAGCGGGGAAGTAGCGTCGCGAGTGCTTAACTGCGTCGTAGCGCTTGTTCTGGCGCACCAGCTCTACGAACTCCTGCACTCGCAGACTGAACTCAATGGTAGAGTTGATTTTACGCAGCTTCGACTTGTTGTCTATGCACCAGAGCACGCATTTTGTGGTGCTATGATTAGCCAAATCGTCCTCGACTTCACGCGAAGTCTGGAATATATCCAAATTGGTCAGGTGGCGAACGTCGGATCGTGCTGCCAGCTCCTCGGCCGTCTCGTAGTAGCCCATGCGCAGCAGATGCTCGATAACTAGGCGATCGAGACGTGTGCGCTTCCACTGGTCGACAGAGCCATGCCAGACGATGCCGGTGGTGCTGCTTGCAGGCATTATGCCCTTCAAATGATCCAACTTGCGCTTGCATATCTGAGTGACGCTGAGCTCGTCATTGATGCTCTCGTCTGCTTTTCGCTTGAGAACCTGCAGTTTTTGGGCCACATTTCCCATCAGCTTCGTAACATCCGACAATATGGGGGGCTGCTCTCCATCCAAGGCCTTCTCTACCTGACGCGAACTTGACATTACTTGATCAACCTCTCTATCGATGGCCTTCTGCGCATTTCTGAAGCGTTTGTTCAGTATTTCGTATGGCACTTTGAGAGTGGCGTGTTCCAACGCCTTAATCTCTGACATTTTGGTGATTGTGCGACAAATCGATTATATCTCAAATCCACATGAAATTGGAATTTCGTTTTTTATTTAATGAAGCTATTTCGTCAGCTTTACTTAGGCGTATTTCTTGAGACGCAATTGCCTTTTTTGCTTTGTTCTGATGTCCATAAATGTTGTAGGTTGCCACTTCACAAATGTTGCAGGCTGCCACTCGACATATGTTGTCATATCATATGGGAACTTCAATCATCTGGTACTATTTTTTTTCATTTATGAAAGCCGTTAAGTTCAATGAATATTACTAAAAAACACCATTTACACCATTACGGGTTTAAAAATGAATTTCGCAATATTAAATATATATATACTCTTACTGTGGCAGTTTTCCATTGAGATTCTCAACTATTTCGAACCATTTTTAATAGAAAAATATTAATGTTTTTAAAAGGTTGCTTATGACGTCACTAAGATGGCTACCTCTGGGATAGCGTAGGAAAAATTGGTGCAAGTGGCAGCACTGTTATCAAAGCAACTGTGAATAGTGAATAACACTGCTTGAGAGCGACAGCCATGTTATCGGTAAAGCAGCGCTGTGTCTTTCTTTCTTTTTGACCACGTTCCGTGCGAGTCGTATGAAATGAATATGAACCTGACGATTTCAAAAAAACGCAAGGTAAATAAACGAAAATGTCCGCAGAATTTGTGCAGAAAAGTGCCGCGCCTCCCGTTGAATGTGTTGTGCCGGAAAATAAATGGAAGCCTCATGATGTACACGCCAAAAACAATCTAAACCAAAAGCTAACCTCAAAGGGGGCACGGCGACAATTTGCTGTGGGCGCAGCGCCAGCATGTGTAGCAGCTAGAATGAATGAATTATGGCATTAATTAAAAACAAAACGGCAGAGTGCACACCAGGCATTTAATATGCATTTTTGTAATTATTAAACTCGCAGCTAACTCGTATTTTCAATTTTGCAGTTCGTCTCCGACGGCATCTTCAAGGCGGAGTTGAACGAATTCCTCACCCGTGAGCTCGCCGAGGATGGCTACTCCGGCGTCGAGGTGCGTGTGACGCCCTCTCGCACCGAGATCATTATCATGGCCACGAAAACCCAGCAGGTTTTGGGTGAGAAGGGACGCCGCATTCGTGAGTTGACCGCCATGGTTCAAAAGCGTTTCAACTTCGAGTCGAACCGCATTGAGCTGTACGCCGAGAAGGTCGCTACACGCGGTCTCTGCGCCATTGCGCAGGCCGAGTCGCTGCGCTACAAGCTGACCGGTGGTCTGGCCGTGCGTCGCGCCTGCTATGGTGTGCTGCGATTCATCATGGAGTCCGGTGCCAAGGGCTGTGAGGTTGTTGTGTCCGGCAAACTGCGCGGTCAACGTGCCAAATCGATGAAGTTCGTCGACGGACTCATGATTCACTCCGGTGATCCATGCAACGATTATGTGGAGACTGCCACACGCCACGTGCTGCTCCGCCAAGGTGTGCTTGGCATCAAGGTCAAGATCATGTTGCCCTACGATCCCAAGAACAAAATTGGACCCAAGAAGCCATTGCCAGACAATGTGTCCGTTGTGGAGCCCAAGGAGGAGAAGATCTATGAGACTCCAGAGACCGAATACAAAATTCCACCACCCAGCAAACCTTTGGATGATCTGTCCGAGGCGAAAGTTTTGTAAAATTATGTTTACTGTTTAACGCAAAATGGTGAAGTTGAGATAAATACAACAACAACAACAAGTAAATTCAAATGAGGATTTAATAAACATAAACAAAGTAACTTTTAGTATAAAACAATAACCATAAAGAACTTGGCAAGCATTTTGTACAGTGTAAAGAGTGCGCGAGGGTCAGTTTGTAAATGTTGTGACTGGCGAATGCGGCCGCCAATGTGGTTGGGTTCTGCTGTTCTCCCAACCAGTTTCCAGTGCCAGTTTCCTTTTCATGTCGTTGCTGCTGCTGCTGCTGTGTTGTTGTTCATGCAACGGAAATCAGCGATTAAGCGTGAACTGTTTGAAAAACTCTGATTTATGAGTTTGTCCTTCGCATTGCGTGTAGCCTGGCAGATAACTTCACTTACTTGTGGCCTGCTTATTTATCACACTGATATGTTCATTCATTCGCCTCCTCTCTGCTGAGTCACAGTGACACAGAAATGAAGAAAGAAACAGAAACAACAGTTCAGTTCCTTGCCATACATAATTCCAGGAACAATTGCAACGATTTCACAGTCAAATGTCAACAATCAAATAATTTATCAAAATCACAGAGATTATTAGCTTCGGCACACCACTGCCGCACAATTAATTGCACATGGAAGCCATGGATTTTCTTTCTACTACCCAAGCTAGATCTCACTTGTTGTGCGGTCGTGAGCATTTGAAACTGAAATCTCAGAGCCAGCACACGATCGCCTCATGAAAAATTGTGCCGCATTTAATGGCGCGCACACACACATTCGCGACTCAGGTGAGCGAGTGTGCGGCAGTTCCGGGCAGCACGTCGTGGGACTGTTTGGTTGGATAACTGTTGGTGGGCACGTCCTCATCGTCGGCGTCTTGCCTGCATCACGCATTCGGCTCTGATTTGGCACATAAATCTAAATTAGCGGGCGCGAAAGCAGGCAAGGCCATAACTCTTCAATGATGCAGTGCAGCAAGGCCCAGACACCAGCTGCTTTGAATAGCAACTCCAACTCCACTCCAGTACAGTAAAAGGCTTTTAGTTCCCGCACGCTTGTTGCAATTCGTCGTGTCAATCCCGCTCGACTCAAGTTTTAATTCACATTATAATGCAGTTTCTAAATGATGTATCAGATCAACAATTTATAAAGGTAATTACGCTACATAAAGTAGAAGAGGGAAGCTAAATTCTTGGAGTACTTAAGGGATAAGCCCAGTGGGGAAATATGTGGATGTCAATAGCCAGTCCTGCAAGCTGTGCTACGACTCAGTCGTGTATTGTCGGAGATTTCCAGGAGATGAAAATGAGAAAGAGAGAGCGCTATTCAGACTAGGCGAAAAGGATCATTATAATCTAAAACAAAGTGAACATGATTGTGCCAAAGGTAGAGTGTTGTTCATCTAAATTAGATAAATAGAAAAGAGTTTCCAGACGACCTAAAAGGTTAAGGGAGCCTTCATCTCCAATAATCCGCTTGTGAAGAACAACATAAGGTTGAGATAAATGGGTAAAGGAGTCTTCATCTCCAATAATCCGCTTGTGAAGAGTGACAGAATGTTGAGATCTACGCAGAGCAAGATGAAGGAATTACGTCTGGACTGACTCGATACGTTCCAAGTGTTTTCTATGCACCAAGCGTTTAAGCATTTAGTACATATTCGAGCACAGGATGTACTATTAAGTAAAGATCTTAAGTTGTGAATATTTCTTTAAATGGGCATAAGCTACAAACCATCTAATTGTGGTGACGGAATTCTAGAAGATAAATATACTTGTAAAAGAGTTTCCCGACGACATAAATGGGTAAAGGAATCTTCATCTCCAATAATCAGCTTATGAAGAAACACATATAGTTGAGATCTACGGAGAGCAAGAGGAAGAGTGACTCGATACGTTCCAGATGTTTTCTATGCCCCAAGCGTTTAAGCATTTGGAAAATATTCGAGCACAGGATGTACTATTAAGTAAAAATCTTAAGTTGTGAATATTGTGTGACAGAATCCTAAGATATTGAAGAATGTAGATAGTAGGCGTTGGTTGTCTAGTTACTAGCTTGAATACAGATTTGTAAAAAAAAGGGAGATTGTGGAAATAATACATGAAATAACAACAGCGAGTACAACAGATCCCAAGCAGCGATCCATTGTGGAGAGTATCTTGTGGTTGAGTATCTTTAAGCCGCCGTCTATTCCACAAAGATGAAGGCCTCATGGTGATGATAGCTACTAAGAGACAAAACTATGTAGCCATGACCAGTCTCTCGAATTATCGTTCAATGACAATTTAAGCAAGTCTTTAGCAGCGACATTTTTCTGAAATTGAACAGTGAACTTCGGCTACTCGCGAAATGTATGTCCCTGGCCCAGGGCCTTGGTTTAAGCAGGGGGTGTGAAGCACCCCTAGCCTAACAAGGACGCTGTGGAAATGGAACCTTAATACGATGTGATTGAAAAAATCACAACATCTTCGGTCGTTCTTTCAAATTTAAATCCCCAATTCTCTAGGGCGATCTGGCATGGCAAATAGCACAACTCGAAATGAGTAACTCGTTGTACAATGTTGGCGAGCCAAGTGAGGCGGCGATTCGCGCCGTCTCCTACATGCAGGTGGGTCCTGAGAAGCCCATCCGAAGCGAAGCGGATATGCTGGACTGGGTCCACTCGCGTTCATACTACGATCTCGTGGCGTATATCAACAACACCAGCTTGGCCATCCAGGGTAAACGCATAACCAGCGATTTTCCAGTCACCGAACAGCTGGAGAAACTCTGCTCCATGTTTAACTGCTTGGAAGAACTGATATATCTGAACCCGCCGCAGTCGTCAGAGCTCGGACATCAGGCCTACCGATCGTGGTCCCGTCAAATGCATCAGAAAGTGTTCATTATGCTCGACAAGGCTATGATTCGCAATTGTAGATATGTGGGGGAGTTGGGACAGTATTTGTCGCTCTCCTTTGGCAGCTCGATGCGGGTCGACTACGGACACGGACACGAACTGATGTTCATGTTCTTTTTGTGTGGCCTGTTTAAGGCTGAAATTCTGGTGTCTGAAGATACAGTTGCGGCGGCATTGCTTCTATTCGGACGATACAATCATCTGATGCGACGACTTATTCAGACCTACCACATGGAACCGACGGTTTCGCGCGGGGATTGGGGCATCGATGAATACTGTATGATTCCATATTTGTGGGGTGCCGCACAACTGGGACTGGAGGCGCCCTTTACGCCCGTTCAGTGCGAATTGGAGGAGAATTTGAAGACCTATCGGCACGACTATTTGTTGGTAGAATGCCTAGATGATCGGATGAAGCTGCGGGTCGGTGTATTGGGTGAGCATTCCTTTGAATTATGGTGCTTGTTGTCGATGTCATCGTGGGCAGAGGTCTATAAGACTCTCATCGAATGCTATTTGCGTGATGTCATGGGCGATTTTCAGTTCGTGCAGCATGCCACCTTCACGGACTTAATGTCCTTCTGCCGTTTGCCAGACCGGGAGGAGTTGCGGGTGGTGCGATTAGGTGTGCCACTGAGGAGCGCAAGATCCACTGCTGAGTTCCAAGAAGACACCTTTGGCGGCATAACCTATAAGAACCCGGAAGACCACGAACATCCATCCCATCTGCCACCAGTTACGCCAGTTGTGAGTAGACACATGCATGCCCTCATGCGCTTTCAAGATCCGGACAAATTGAGTGATCGTTCCGGCGATGTAAGTCCCAAATCTTTGGTATCGCCACGGTCCTCTAATCAACCCCAAGACAAAGACGGCCAAAGCCCCAGTTAGAGTCGAATCGGAGCCCACTTGTGCTGGTAATACCCAAATACTAGAGAGCTTTTAGCGTGCCCCATTAGTTTTCCGACTAAGCTGCAATACCAACGGAGTCTCTCCGTAGATGTATTCTCGGTGGCGTTAACATTGCAAAATATATTTTTGTATTTGCTGTCTGATTAAAACTATTTTAGTTATGATTCATTTCTTATTTTCCAAATACATATTACTATACAGTACATTTTTCAAATATCTGAGTTGCAAATTTAATTTTATTCGGATTGGCATCCTTGGAGCTGAAGCTTGCAGTAGTTTTTAAATATACAAGTATATATATAAATAGCTTCTGCTTAAAAAAAATGCAATACGCGTTTTAATGTCAAGTCTTCAAAATGAATGTTTCAATATTTTGCGAGCTTTCTTCTCTTCTCTTCTTGGACGTCTTAGGCTTATCGGTTTTGAATGGAGATGCTTGCTTATATAAGTACATAACTAAGAATTTATGTCTAGATGATTTGCCGGATTTTATTTAAAAATTAAACTAACAATTCTCTAGCTGTTAGAAAAAATGTTTCCCTAAACTTTGTTTATAATTAGTTTCTACTACAATATATATGTATATATAGAAATCAATCAACCGTTGGATTAATTTTGTGGAAGGCAAAAGAATGTAACACAAAATAAAACACTGACGGTGTGGCAGAATCGTAACAAATGTCTTATTCACTCGATCGTCGGCTTAAGACTAAATTTATTGCTGCTCTCAGGCAGCTCTCTTGCAGCTCGCAGGCTTGCATTACAAACGAGAGAGTATTTACCGTTATAGTAGTGAGAGACTGCGGCATGAGAGAGCCAACAGGCCTGCCACAATTTGTAGTTCTTTCTTATGCAAGGAAGGGCTTTTGATCGTATCAAGCAATATGTAGGATATTCTTGTTATACATAAATAAATATTATAAAACATTTCATTTCTAAATAATAAAACGACACATTTCTTAATATTATTTTTAAAAAATTAACAAATCTTCCTTAGTTTAACAAAACAAGCTGTATTTAAACTATATGGAATTGATTTAAAAAGTCTGTCGACCACCAATATTTACCCTGAACTACACAGGCTACTACAACAAAATTTAATTTAGTAATAAGATACAGTAATAAGTACAGCCATTAGTCATTTTATTTTGTTTTTTTAATACTTGTATACATTTTATTCCTTTAAGTTTTATTTATTTTTTCATATTTATTTAATTATTTATGAGCCTTATCCTAGCGTTACAAGTATTGGATTACTTTTAAATTATTAGGCTAGTCATTACAAATTTAATTATATTGAGCTTATTATTAGGTTATTTTATTATTTTTGGTTTTATTTTTATATTTTTCTATTATTTATTAAAAAATCTCCCAGCTCTAACCGATCCCTATATCGTAGTACATGTTTAACATAGTTGGCTCTTGTAATTATATTATTTTAAAGCATCTTTTGAATAGTTAGCAACTCATTTAAGGTTCCACGAGTCTCATATTAGTCCCTAAGCCATTCATTTATACAAATATGTAAGTAGTTGCCGGTGCAAAACAGCCTGCAACCTGCAGCCACAGCAACAATTGTGAGAAATTCTCAAAATGTTGGCCTTTCAACACGCGCATAAATCATTAACGAACTGTTAAACACGACTTAAGCGATATGAACGTATGATTTCAACACAATTTGTAAATAAATTAGATCGTGATTATAGCAACATTAATATCAACTCCAACGTCATCAGCAACAGCAACAAGCGGCAGCAACAAGCTTCAGCAACATTATTAAGGCTGCCATGTGTTGACGACTTTGGCAGCACATGTGCTTGTTCTCAGCCTAAACGTTACACACAGTCGTACACACATACACACACAGAGAAATCCATATAGATGGCAATAATACTAACTATATATTACAATAGCCTGTGCACCGATCGACCAAACAACCAAGCAAGCAACCAGCAACAGTAACAACAAAAGTTGCCGTCAACAAGTCTACTTAAGAATCGACAACGACGCGACGTCAGGCATTCGTCTGGCTAAGCGATCTCCCTCTGTTAGTGTATATATATATATTTATATATATGTGTGTGTGTGTGTGTGTGTGTGTGGCAAAGTGTGGGCAAAATGCATCATTAATATATTGTCTGAAATCTCTAGCTAGCATGTCTCGTTATCGTTGCTGTTGTTATTGTTGTTGTTGTCGATATGGCTGTCGATGTCTGTTCTTTTTGCAACAATGCCTCATAACTGTAATATTTCTGTAGCTTTGGCTATACTCGTATTTGCTTTGATTTACCAACTTTATTATTAGCTTTGCCAGCTGCCCGGGCATGTTTTGTGTCATGATTTTGCCATCATTATTTAACAATAATAACAACAACAATAACAACAGCTAGCGCGGATAATGTGTTTTTCATGCGAACTGCCAGACGACATTTATCATCATCAGCTGCAGCGGCAACATTACAAAATATGTACAGTAATCGCTAGATAAAGCTTACTAGCATCATCATAAGTGGGAATTGAAGGCAAACATGATCGGCTTTAGCTTTCATTATACCATTTGTTACATATTTAGACGGGCTTCATATATATAGTTTTTATATTTTGAACATTTAGAAGGAAGAATGTTTATTTATTTATCTTGAAGGTGCAGCTTGAAGAGATGAATGCAAATCGCAAAACCCGTCTGCTTTAAATAGTGATATTCCTTCAAGAGCCTCAGAAACTTTGTAACAAAGCTTATTGTTACGACTACGAACTGTTCAATCGGGCCTCTCTTCGGATATGCTCCTGTGTCTAAAATAATCGATAATTTGGTTCCTCCAAGAGTCGCATCCATGTATATAAATGGTAAGGTCACACCAAATGAACGATCACACAGAGTTATACATTGTTTTCCTATAAATTCGCACAAGCCATAGTCTTCTGGCAGTTTGTTGGTCCAGTTAGGTCAGCCGGTCAGGGTCGTGCCCCACATTGGGCGCCATATTGCTACGATCAAACGCCATGAGAGGTCCGATGGATGTCTAAATGCAAAATAAATAAATAAGACTCCTAAATGATTAAGCAGTAGGGATTATGTTTCGCGGCCCATGATGCCGAATACTTTGTAGCCAAAAGCAGTTAAGGCGCGATGAAAATAAGTGTATAATTAATTGAATCGAGGCTGATTTCTATTTATTGATAAGTCTGATTTCTACCACACATATTTTCTCCAGAGTTAGCCATATCGAGTGCGGACTGTGTTGGCTCAGTTGTAGTAACCACGCTTGGCAGCCTCCTCCACAATCGTTTGCACTGCTCCGAAGGCTTCCCGAGCCGTGGGCTCAATCTCTCGCGCTGGCAATATGAAGAGCACCTCACTGTCGGGTGGACCGCGTAGCTCAAAAGTAAATGTTATGTTCAGCTTGAGCTCGCCATGCGCCCAGTCCTTGGAGCCGCCACTGGATGGATAAATGGTTTCATAGATGCTGCCACTTTTGTAAATGCGTCCAGTTAGCGATTTGATCTTCGCTACCGCCTTCTTACCAATGGCCGTCAGATCATCGTAGTTGTGCACCCGCTCTGGCGTTGAGCTGTAGGGGAACATGAGGAGCTGGGAGTAGGAGTGCAGTGCAATGTAGGTGCGTAGGTTTTCCGTTCGGACAAGTTTCTCGACAAATCGCATCACACGTTGGGTCTCCACTTCGCTGCCAGCCGATGGTCCGGAGTAGAAAGTGCTGCAGGGATCGCCGCTGGTGCCTGTGGTATTCCAGCGCATCGGATAGTTACGATTCAAGTCGACACCTCGACAGACACCATGGGGCGCGCGGCTCTTGCGCCACATCCGATCACCGTTGAAGGTATATTTATAGCCATCGGGATTGATGCAGGGAAAGATCAGCCAGTTTTGAGAGCGCGCCAGAGCCTGCACTGTCGGATCGCTGGAGTGGAGCAGCTCGTTTATGAAGTAGGTGGCCGTGGCGGGTGCAATCCATTCACGCGCGTGTATTCCACTTTCTATGAACACGCTGGTCCTGGGCGCACTGCTCGCTTCCTGCGGATACGAAATGCGCACGCCCTTTATTGGGACGCCCTCAGTGCTGCTGCCCATGTCCAGCACTGTCACAATCTCCGGCGACTGGCGAGCCACGTGCTCCAGCCAGTCGTAAATGGTGTCGAGTTGAAAGTAGTGTTGCCAATCGAACTGTGTGACTGGCGTGGACGTGGGCAGCACCTCCCTGTAGTTGGCATCGATCTCGGCCTGAAAATTGTAGTTCAGTATGTGATGGGTCACATTGTATCTATGCAGGAGGTCATCGAAATCGGCCACTTTGTGGCCAATCACCATCACGGTTAGCTTCTGACCCGGCACGCGTACGCTGCCCATAAAGAAGTACGAGTCGCTCTTCTCGAGCCTTTGGAAGAGTTCCACGTGCTGCTCGTTGCCCAGCTCCATGTAGTAGATGCGTGTGTGATCGTAGTGCGCCTGCGCCGTAACGCCCTCCCCGCCCGTTGCCACCGCATTGCTCCACTCACTGGGCAGCAGTAAGAGCAGCAGGAAAATTGACTTCGATCCGGCTGACATGTTCACCGACTGAAATCTCAAACAGTTTTGTGTTGTCTTGGGGCGTAGAGGCGCAGCGACGTCTAGATTATCACAATCGCGATGCCTCGTCTCACCTTTGACAGCTGAAAGCGATGGAAAAGAAAACAAATCGAGCTGATAGTACGGTATATGTCAAAAGCAAATGCAAACACAAACACTCGTGTTTAATTTATGGAGCAACGACAATAGCTAGATCTGTCATTGAAAGAAGCTAGAAAAGGCTAAAAAAAAGAGGTAGTCAAAAAATTTAGCTTATAATAAGTAAATGTGGCTAGAGTCAAGTGGGCTCAACTCTCAAATACCCTGTACTTTCCACTCCAAAACACACAAACAAGTTTTTATTATTAGAAAAAACCCAAACTGGTCCTTTCTCGGATTCGGGAAACACAGTGCATGGTGTACTGCATTGCACTGCTTGAAATTTAAGAGGTAATTAACAGTTAGCAGGTTCGCAACAAATGTTGCAAAAAAAGCAACATAACGTAAGCAACATACTCTAACTTAATACAAATACTAGAACTACATATCAATTATGTATGCATATGAGAGAATTGTGTATAACATAGAAAGTTCGGGTGAGAATTTGCAAAAAACAGACAGCCATCTTATCATGTTGATCGATAATATTAGTAATTTCAAATAAATTCAACCTTTGATGTTACACACAAGCGTTCGGAAAAGAGAAGTAAAAATGCACTGCTTTGAATTCTTGAGATACTTAACACTTTGCAACAATGTTGCTCAATAAATGTTTAAGCAACATGCTTACTCGCACTTGACACATGCAATTACGCGAGGGTTAATAACAAAGGATGTATTTATGTATATGAAACATAAATATATATGTATATAGTATGTACATATATAGGTATGAATATAACATACGATTTTTCAATGCACCCCCGCAAAAATGCATTAAAACAAAAATGAATTTCTCTTAATTGACTTAACGTGACTTAAGCTTCAGAAACCAATTACAAAGCCACATTAATTTTCCGAAAATGCAGCAACAAATTGCATTCAAGATTTTATTTCGTTAGTTGGCTTTTGTTTTCGTTAGTTGCATGCACAACAAATTTTAATTAAGAAAACTTCATGGCGGCGCGGGGGCGCACATGCCTTTTGCAGTTTTTAGACGATGGTCCATGCATATAAAATAATCTTATCAACATTTTGGCAATTAATTTTTGCTGCTCATTTAACGCACCAACAACGGAGCAATAGCAACACGACAGCAACAACAACAACAACTAACGAACACCCGCGGTAGCCAAAATAGTCGCGTGAAAAACCAGAAGCTGCTGCTTCGACCATGCCTGCCAGCCATAAAAGCATTTTAATTTCTTAATTTACAACAACTATAAATCATTGGCTAGGTGTTTTGCCATAATTTCCAACTTTTTTTCTCACTCGCACTATTTCCACAATTTCGCTGCGGGCAGTGCGAGCCGCTATGGAAATGCACAACCAAGCCTAGACATACATAGATATGTAACTTTGTGTCCACAGGGAAGCTATACTATAATGGATTTCTTATCACTATTATCATTTATATAGTACAGCTGATAGAAGAAACTGAAAATATAAAAATTTGTTAATACAATTTTCAAAATAAATTACAGCACATAATCACAACTCATGTAAAAAAGGCATGTAAAGTAAATACTTTTGGAATTACAATAACAATAAATTAAATTCTTCAAAAATGCTATTGAGAGAAGAGTGTAGGTAAGACTAAGGTGCTAACATCTTAACGGGGGACGATATATTTCTGCTTGTAGTGTTCATTATTCGACATGGGTAGAGCAGAAAGAGATTCTTTTTTTTCTGTAACAGATAGTTTTTTTTTTTGCAATCGATTGGACAATCAGCAATTAATAATGGGAAAAGATTGGCGTTAAGATTTTGTTTTCTCTGTGAAGAATGAGATTCTTGACAAACTTCTTCTACAATATATATTCGTAACAACCCCTTTACAATTGTCTTATTTCGATTGAAAAAAAACATTATTCTCATTTAAATACAAAATGTTTAATAACCACATTATTGAGAGTTTAAGGCCAAATGAAAAACTGACCTTAAGTCCGGATGTTGAATTGTCATATGAACTTAGTTTTTAGTAAATTTTAATTAATACATCTGATATATTTATCTAAATACTTTGTTTTAACGAGAGCAGCAACCATTTACTACTTACTTGACATTTCAATGCAAGTTTGTAAGATGGAGAAGAAAGCATTGCCAATTAATTAATGATTAGCAATCGCAGCGAATCGGTATATAGCCATGTCCGTCTGCTCATATGGACTCTGAAATTTCATGGACCATTACAGATAATTATTAACTTAAATATAAAGTATGTGAGATATTTCTAGTTTTTTGGGCGAACCGAACCTTTTTTAAAGTTGTTTTGTATTTATTATTTGTTGTTTGTTGAATTTTAAGGGAAATAATCTATTATTATTTTTCTGGTGGAAAATATTTTGGTAAATAAAAATATTAAACTTTTCAATAAGATTTTTAGCTTAGCTTTTAGATTATAACCGAAACAATGAACTAATATCGAATTTTTGATTGATTTATGGAGCTCCATTAAAGATAATTGGATATCTACTTACTATTAATACAATAAATGCGAATTTTAAATGAGATGAGATGATACTGTTATCTAATTATTACATTATTATTTCATTACATATTTCTTCAATTATGACATCTACGATAACTGAGAAACTGCATTAATAAAAACATAAAAATAAAACAACTAATAAAAAGGTTTTTATTTATATGACAAAAGAATGTCAAAAGTTTGATACTTATCAAAAAATTATCAAAAATTAAAAAATATCTAATTTCTCAAGTCATTTGTTAGTGTGACCTTAAAGGTCGATATTTTTGGGACCAAAGGGACAATCATCATATATATATATCATATACATATGATCATATATAGATCATATACTATACATAAAATAATAAGATATTTTAGAATTGGTAACCTTTAATTAAGTATCACAGACCATCTCCATTACTTTGGCTTATCTAGGCATGATGTTATTTTAGAAAGAGAGCATAGTTATTTAGTTAGTCAAGTGAACACCTTAATTGTGCTGAGTATAGATATTGGACTACAAGTACAATGTTTCTAAGCGAAAACTTTGAAAAATATATACTTATAAGTACAATAAAAAACAATTTGAGCTTAAAATATTAGATATCTGAAGCATCTGGCGACCTTGATAAAGCTAAGCTAAGTCCTAAAGTCGGCTTTAAAGCGTAAAAGTTAAAATATTTTTTAAAAAAGTTATTGTTTTGGAACTAAGAGTTTTGAATTAGCTTCCTTTAATTTATGAAAATAAAATAAAAATACAACTTTCCTTGATAAATCTATCTAAGTCCTAATGTCGGCTTTAAAGCGTGAAAGTTAGCATACTTTTCAAAAAAGTAGAAATGTTATTGTTTGGAACTAAGTATTTTGAACTGCCTTCCATTAATTTATGGAAAAGAAATAAAAATACAACTTTCCGAGTGCCTTGTTTTTCTTCTTTTTTTTGTATCGTAAAATGCCTTATCAGTAGGATTTTTAAGTGGTTTGTTCGAAAAAATTGGCACTTGTGTAAGGAAAACAGTTAATGAATTAAATGTTTAATATTTAAACAAGACTGGTTAACTATGGAGCTCTTTTGTTCAGTAGTTAATCAAACTTAAAAGAGGTTCGACTGCTTTATTTAGTTCAAGAGAATACCCGTAGCTTGGATTTTCATTAGCGCTTGGTCCTGGTGGTGCTGTTAAAATTCCAAAAATACCATTGGATCGTGTTCGCTGGTGGTTGCTCCGATGGCTGTGGTGGCTCTGTTTGCTCCGGTGGCTTCATTAAGTGACGCTTGTACATATTAATTCAGATGCTGGCATTTATGGTCTGGTGGCCGAGACCGGCACTAAATCATCTCAAGCTCAGCCATTTCCACTGATCTGCGGTTGTCATTTAAGGCGACTAACTGCGTCCAACGGCGGCGTCGCAAATTTCGCATGGCTTGTGTGATATTTAAAGTGTTGGCAATAGTTGGGGACCCATTTTGGCTTGGATCTTCATATGGAAATTGTTGCACCATCTCGTCGTCGTTGGTGCTGCGCTGCTGCTGGCATCTCGAAATCGCGCGCAAATGTTTAATTAAAATGCGTTAACAGTTTGTCGCTTAATTGGCAGCATTTTTACATTAATTTTGGTATGTGAGAAATGTATTTAATGCGAATTCAAATTAACTTAACAATTCACTAAACTGCACACACACACACACACACACACATGGAAATTCATAAATAATTGCAAATAATTGACAATTGTGTGCGTAAATTTGAACGCTTTGCCGCGGAGGAAGGGGATACTCGCAGTTGGTTTCGGTTTCGATTTCGAGTCGTGTTTTGAGTTTTGAGAAATCAATTTGGCCAAATTGTAACATAAATCACGGCTATGTCAGAAATTTGCCATGACTTGTCGTTATCTTTGTGTTTTGGGTTGCGCCTTTGGATTCGATTTCAGACTTGGACGCAGGCGCAGACTCAGAGTAAGGCTCGCAAATTAATGCAATTTTGTGTAAATTACTCATTAAAAATGAAATAAATTTAGTTCGGAGGCATAAATCACGCCTTTAAGTGTAACAAACCACACACATGCTCTACAACAGTAACAACAACAATGTCCGGCAGAGACAATTGCCAAAGCAAATCTGAAAACAAAAATCATTTTGTAGTCTCGATTACATTTTGGCCGCGGCTTTAAATGAAATTTCATTTCTTGTTGGTCAACGTTGTTGTTGTTGTTGGTGTTGTTATTGTTGTTGTTGCTGGTCGAGAGAGACGCCAATTAGATATTTTATTGCTAATATGCGCTTGTCAGATGCAGCTCCAGCGCCAAGCCAGCAAGTTGGCCAATAACCACCAGCAACTTGGCCAAGACAGTCAGCCAGGTAGTCAGGCAGTCAGCTCTCAAGTGTCCCGAGCACACTGTCCAATAGTCTGTACGTGGCTGTCCACATCAATTAAAAGCACATTTGACAATGATATTTTCTTGGCGAAAATTGTCTGCGACTGACTCTCTGGTGTGGGGTGGAGGCCATGACTGCGACTTCGACTGCTCACTTGTGTTTGCACCCAAAAATTAGCTTTTTTAATTGATTCAAGACTGGCCAGCATGTCATGTTTTGTAATTATAGATAAAGCCTCGCCGCCTCAGCCTGCTCCGAGCTTGGTCTCATTTCGAGTCCGAGTCGAGTTCGCATTTCAAATTAGTTTCGCTTTAATTGCAGCTATAATTTAATTGAACTATCCAGCTAAGACGGCTGAAAGCAGAACCCGTCGAAGAAAACCAATAAAGTGGTTCAGTTTATAGATACATAGATTAAAAGGATATGTGTATATACATGGAAACCAGTGCTACGATTTTATTGGTCTCTGAAATGCGCTTAGAGGATTAAATACAATTTCATACAAGCTGACCCGGATTGATTCATTTATGTCAAGTTTACGCGGCATATGTCAATTTTTTTAAGTGTTTGCCAGCTCTTTGTTTATAAAAAGAAAAGTTCTTGTTCTTTATTATGGAATCTTTATTATGGAATTAAGCAATGTGTTGGCTTGACATTTTGTGTTTCAAATAGTATTTCGATGAAAAAATCCTTAAAAATGCCGCAAAATTGTGTTGAAGAGTCTAATCTATCCAGAACGCAAGTACTTGAATAGGAGGTCAAAGAAAACTAGCCTCTGTTAACGACGATAACATCGGAAACGTGAAGGATATTGTCAGCATTAGAAGGATAGCACTCAACATCTCTAAAGGCTCGACTCAGCACATTTCACTTGATGTTTCGGGTATAAGGCGAGTCGCCGCCACACTCTTGCCAATTCATGGATTTTTCACAACGATAATACACTGTCCGTTCCAGCTGGATAGTGAAAGATTTTTTGGCCAAACATGAAACAAAAGTCAGCATTCAGCTACCATATTCAGTTTTTCAAATTTAATTTAGCCTTAATAAGTCATCTACAGAACTAAAGGACACCCCAGTCGAGGCCTATTAATATATATATTGGAAAATCGGATTAACCATTGCTTGTGTTCGCTCAAAAGGAGTTTATTTTGAAGGCGTTGATACATATTTGTATTTAAATACACCTAGTTCTCGCTTAATAGTTTTAAAAATATGCGGTTACGTTCCTAGATTTCAACAAATATTTTATTTCTTAAGCTTCCGCTGTTTTTAAGGCATCCAGACACTTTCGAAATTAACAAAAAGTTACTCCAAGTGTTGATTATTTATCATTAACAGATTGGTCTTAATAAAACGGAAAATATTCGTAAGCGTAAAATTGAGGCTATTTACATTTTATAACTATTTGGTGACATTGGCATATAATTTAATCATAAGCAGTTTTTATGCTAAATAGTTTTTTTGTTTCTCGCTTGCAAAATAAAGGATTTTGCAATTGCTGGCTATAATTTCTTCCAATATCCCTTCAATGTTTTCTCCTTAAGCTCTTTTAGAGAGAAAATAAACAATTAAAGGCAATGGGAAATTTCTTTCCACTACTGATTACATCGATGGAAGCAATTTCAATTGCATCTGAAATTCTGAGTATAGAGCGCCTGATATAATCGTAGTAGATTGTTTTCACAGTGCGAACTGTTATATTAATATTCAGATTTAAATAGTATTAATTGCAAGACCTGCGGCATATTTCAACAACAAAAGTGAGCATATTACTTTTTTTTAAAAATATTTTCAATACCGTGTTAGAAGGTGTTTAAAGAGAAAAGGCAGCAAATTTGTAATCGTGTTAGAACGAGTTCGTATTTTTAAAAATGTTTTTCAACTAGTTCAGATTTTTTTTTTTCATTTTCCCTTTGTGGTGAGAGGTACAGGGTATTTAAGAGCTGAGCTCGCTCGACTTTAGCATTCCTTTCTTGTTAAACTTGTTCAGATGGTGGATTGCTTTCAATTTCGAGATTTCTTCACATATGTATGATAAATAATTGAACATTTAATGTAAGAAGCGACATAATTTAAAGTTGAATTATAGTAGTCTACAAGAGTTCGTTCCGCTTTAAAAGCAGTTAC